CATTTTATGATTGAACATTCAATAACTCTTAAGATATTGAAAGTGAAATCCCGTGTCTTCAGGACCTCGAACCCAGGACCTTTCGCGCTTAACGCAATGCTAGGCAGCACGTTTAACCATTTCACTATAGAGGCGGACATGATATTAAATAGATAAAAAAATCACAATACTGATAAAACTGATCAAAGACTAAATTTGCGACCTCTGACTTTTGTCAGAACTCTTAGGCCTAATTACTCTGTATGACAAGGACGTTAGAATAGAGCTTAGTCAGAGATCGCGTAACGCTGGCACGTGGGCTTTAAAACGAGGAATGGTGCCGGAGCTTCGCAACTGTGACGAAATTTTACTCTTCACGTGTGAACGTCCACATCTGTAATAGTGTTGCGCGTCGGATTGATTCGTTTACCGGGAAATACGATTAAGGGCAGTGGGTCGGAAAGGAGACTGCAATAGTAAACAAACGTTCGACGGGCTAGTTGGTATAATGGTAGCAATGTATGGCTAAGAGTAAACGGGTCCTGGCTTTGATTCCTACCGATGTGTTTATCATAAATCGTCTAGAAAATTCGTTCAATTGGTGGCACGGATATCAGCAGTTTGATATAGCCTACCTTGATAAATCGTCTTTCCAACAATCGTCAACACAAAAATTTTAAATTCGGACCCTATTGATCCGAAATTAGCGCGTTAACAAACAATAAATCATAATTATGTATGTATGTACACTAATATTACTAAACAAAGTGAAATATTAAATAATGTCAATAGTTTACGCGAGTAGTACACATTTAAATAAAACACTTTAACGGTTTAAAACGCGATATATTAGTTAAACTTATTTGGAAATGATTTTTAACTTCGGCCCGACGTTTCGGATGCTTTGTGGTCACGGGGATAGTCAAATAAGTTTAACTAATATATCGCGTTTTAAACCGTTAAAGTGTTTTATTTAAAAGTGAAATATCTTGTATTTATCTGGGCAACTGCGCCCGCAATGGCTCTGTGTTTGTCATTGTGCATCTGGCCAATTGTTTCCTTGCTCTCCGCGGTCGCTTTCATGTTATAATTTATTATTCTTTACTTATGTCTATGCACGGGTAAGTAATTATTTTATATATGACCATTTTGATAACAATCGACGTTAAATTACTTAATGACAAGGAAATATGTTTATCTCTAGCTCTCATAGGTTTTATGTCGTACCAGTAAATAAGTTAACTAATACCTATATCGTTGTAAACCGTTAAAAGTGTAATAACTCGCGTAAACTATGAATAATAATATATACAAGTAAGCACACAAGAGTGTAGGTAATGTAATGAACATCGCTAGTACATGTATGGTACCTCGTGTCCTAGAACAAAATGGATTTATCGTCGACGCCATCGACGTCGATGGCGTCTCTTCCCATCGTTCTTGCAAGTTAATCTTAAAAGATAGACTATACTAGCGTCACGGACTTTTTTTAATTCATTTAAAGAAAAATCATTCTTTTATTCACATTTTTTAGGTATATATAACCGTTTTTGCAGAGTACGCATCTGAAACCCACAGGGATGAAAAATTTCTCCCGTTTTGTTTACATTTCCTGCTGTATCTTCTATTAGTCACAGCGCAATGTTTTATAGTCTATAGCCTACCTCGATAAATGCTCTAATCAACACAAAAAGAATTTTGCATTTCGTACCCGTAGTTCCTGAGATAGAGTTAGCGCGTTCAAACAGACAAACAAACTCTTCAGCTTTATATATTATTGTCTTGACTAGCTTGTCTGTTTGTTTACAGAAATGTCAATTTAGAAAATACGGCGTACTTATCGAATTATGTCTAAATGCGATTAACTGTCAACAAAAACAAAAGCCAAACAATGGTCAGGTGTGGCGTTAGATTGCCAAGTAAAAGCGCCAGTGAATTCAGCCACGTGGCTTGTCGCGTGCGGTCACGGGCTCAATCACGTTCCCACCAATGGTGCTAATTAATCCGTTGCTAATTGGTGTGAAGCCGAAATAGGTAGGCAGTTTGAATGGTTTAAAACACGAAACATATAAGTTAACTAAGGATGTTTTGGATGCTTCGCAGCAGCCGTGGCTGAAGGTAGTTTTATATATGATTGCAACTTGCCTAGAGAAAAATTCAAATGATACAATCTTTTTTTGAAATGAATTTTAAGGGCTTGTTGGTGTAATGGTAGCAAAGAACGGCTAATAATCGAGAGGTCTTGATGATCCTCACCGGGTCCAACCAATTTATAATTCTTCTGAAACAGGTTGGACTTCATCTGGAACTCTGAATAGTAAATGGGTGTGAGGAATATCGAAATTTCGTCCGGGTCACAACCACCGGCCATGGATAAAAAGTGATTTCCAAATGTGCATAGGCAAAATAGGTCGATAACGCATTGTTTGGATGTTATATGAGTTCCCCTTCCATCAAGTGAATGCCTGTTTGTATCTATCATGAATCATCCAACTGGGGTCCAAATAAATCTTGCTGGGTCATTATATTAAACAGTTTTTTGAACTGCTCTTTGTGCTAACCTAAAAGCCATTGCTTTCTATAATATACTTCTCGTTCTAAAGTATTGTAGCATTTTATTGTATTCTAATCGATGTCCTACGTTAAAATTAGAATTGCGGTACCAGGCAGCTATAACATAAAAAGTAGTATTTTTATATAAGGTCTGCCACTATGTTATGTTTGGGATATCAAGCCCCTAACTTGCAAGTTGTCAGTGGCGCGTGGCACCTGCATTTCGTATCTACGTGCACTTAATAAGGGTGAGCAGCGGAGCGCAACTATCCTCAATCAGGGCGGTCTGTGGCGGTTACTATTATATTTCTCTTTGTTCGCGATAATTACTACGATGACTCACTAAATGTCAGGATGGTTGCCACTCGCTGCTTTTGCTGCACCACGTCATAATAACCAGTTATAGTATTTTGTTTACCGTACCTGTTTTTTCTGTAAGCTGTCTTTTAGCTTCAGCACACTTCGTCAGCCTTAAAACTGACTATCGTTAGCTTGTAATTTTTTTTGAAGGATTTGTCGAACCTACCAATTTTTTTTTATAGTCGCATTATTGTTTATACACAGGTAGACAATAGTTTTTTTAATAATCAAATGTTTTTTTTTGTGATAATTGTAATTTCAAAATTTTAATTGTTCGTAATCTACGATACGTTACGAATAAGCTCTCCAGCTTATTCGTAAATTACAAGTATTTATTGCAAATATCATATTACTTCCTTTAACATTGATGTAAAATGCACAAATTTAAATAATCTAACCGATCAGGTGACCGGAAGTGGTCACGGATTGAATTCGTGGCTTTGCGATTACGGCTTCCGGAAACTCTACAGATTCGCGGGTTAATATCTTTGCAATTACCATCTTAAGTAGTTTTCATTTTATCTTATTACGGTTGAGGTTTTTTGTGTGATTTTTTTTATTATTTTAGAAAATAGTAGTCAAAATATTTAGCAATAAAAAAGTACTCATTCAAAACGACTTTAATATAAAGAGATATATCTCTTGTCATCCAATATTATACGTAAAACTTATTTGCATCGGTCGATTATTGGTCGTTTCATTTTCTAATTAATTATACTTTAACTATTTTCTTTACTTCATAAACTTAAGTTAGTACTAACAATAACGCGTTCAAGTAACTTAGGTATAAGAATTCCCTCAAATAGAAAAGGTATATACAGGGTGTCGGTAAATGTCGACGGGGCCACTTGACCCACAATGCACAATGAACTATAAAAATAAACTGCGTCTCATCTCTTGTATTGCTGCAAAGTGGTATCTACCTTCGCGCCACTATAACAAGTGACGTTCTCACTTCCTACCAATTTTTATTTCGGAGGCACTCTTCATTTTCGTTGGGGAAATTAAGAGCCCAACCATCTATTTAAACCTTAATAATCCATTTAACGAATGATTAACTTTTTAAAGTAAAAGACTCAGTTTTAATTTGGCTAGTATTCTGTGCTATAAGCTACCGTCTATTTGTGTGAACATTTTCAAATACTTACATTAATGCGTAGGTGTTTGAAAATATTAAATATAAATATGTCGTAATTTTTTTCAAGCTTTGCGTTTAAAAAATGAGTAACTCAACAAATACTGTCTGAAGTTCACGCAAGTACACATTTAAATGAAATACTAACGGTTTAAAACGCGATATAGTCTCCCCTTGACAACGGCTGCTGCAAAACATCCTAAACGTCGAGTGAAAATAATTTCCAACTAAGTTTAACTAATATATATCGCGGTTTAAACCGTTAAAGTGTTTTATTTACATAACTCAATAAATACGAATAGAAGTTTCAATAAACGAAGCAGTATCTCATACGTATGTGCGATTAACATTTATAGACAATCGTAAAGTTGGAATATAACGCGGTACTAACGAATTGTGAACGGGTTATTGCACTTTAGTTTACGTGGTAGTAAAGTACCCTCAAAATAGAGCGAAATTATATTTCGCCCGGCAACACTCAAACAGGTGGATGTTGCGCATTTTTAATTGTGTTAATCTTACTGGTCTTTCTCGTTGCTAAACGTAAGTTTTCCTATATAAAAAATTATTAGATCAGATTCACGTATCTATTTTATGTACGACACATGGAGTATTTTCGGCTTCCATCATGTGGATGCCATGCTTCTCCGTCCTCCTCCCTCATAAAAACATTAGAAAGATACTGTAAATGTGAAAGATGTCTGTAGTGTACGCGTGTAGTACACATTTAACGGTTTGAAACGCGAAATGTATTAGTTAACTTATTTTAACTTTGACCTAACGATTCGGATTCTTGCAGAAGCCGTGTTCTCGGGACCACGTACTTAATATAACTTATAATTAGGTTAACATTTCGCGTTTTAAACCGTTAAAAGTGCTTTATTTGAGCATTTTAGGTGACTTAAAACTCGACTTTTATGTAAAAACTAGTCATTGTAGTATGTTATCTAAAGAGGACTGTCTCACGTTACAGGGAAGAAGTCCGCGAGCACGCGGTGCGGTGGAACTCTGAATTCTCGTTCGTGTGCAAGATGTACGCGAACGCCAACACTGGAGTACTCGAGCCGGCCAAACTGAGAGTCTCCGTGCGTAAGGAGTGCAAAGGTATGGGACTTCCACGCAACTTTCTATAACTGGTTAAGTTTTTAAGCTTTTCGGCCATCGAAATTGAGAAATGTTGAACGGTCGATTAAGCAAGGACGAAAGTGACTTATCATGTGTTCTCGTTCTTTTAAGTAAATGTGGGAAAGAGACAACACTCTATTCACTCGTTTTTGTGAGAGTAGCATAGTTACATTTGTGCGACTATCGTCAATCGAACAACATTTTTTTATCAATAGTAGAGAGCGTGTCCCCTGGGATACATTTCTTACTTCTATGTATATCAGCAATTCTCAAATATTAGTTATATTAGCAAATATCTGATTCGATTAAAATAAGTGACCGCCTCTGTAGCTAAATGGTTAAACGTGTTGCCTGGCATTGCGTTAAGTGCAAGAGGTTTTCGGTTGAAAACTCAAGAAAACGACAGATTGTTTCGGTCGGGCAGGCTACAGAAGTCTGATACTTGTGATTAAAATTCATTAATAAAACGGGAACAAAAATGTGTTCGATTAGACGCATCGGACTCGAACGCACGACCCGTCGGTTTTTAGGCATACTTTACTACCACTGCACCAACGAGGCCATTATATTATTATTAATGTAAACAATAACCATTTACACCAGGCTCCTTCAAGAAATCATAAATTATGTAGTAATTATCTGTACTAAAACCACATTCTAAGTTAGAGATATTTACACAAAATCACGCTAATCAGTTAATTATGCACACGCTTCTTGGAGTTCCGTCACAAGTAACGAACTTGTTGCCAACTTAAGGCTTACTTAGTGAGCTTTCAGATGTACTTAAGTAGATATCTTAGTTTTTACGTATATCAAAGGGCAATTCAAAACAAGAAATATGTAAAGAAATGCTATATATTAATGGTCTCGTTGGTGTAGTGGTAGCAAAGTATGGTTTATAATCGATGGGACGCGAGTTCGATCCCCACCGGGTCCAACATGATTGAACTCAATTTATAGTTCTTCTGAAACATGTTGGACTTCTACTGGAAACCTGGATATTAAATATGTGATAAGAATTTTGAAATTCCATCCGGATCACACGTCACCGTCCACAGATAAATAAGCTGTGAAGTTTAATCGCGTTTAGCTTTTGGTCTGTAGATTTCCAAATAACGCCAGTATAGGTCGACGGATCTTGTTTAGATGTTTAAGGGCTAGGGTATTTTACCCACGATCAATTGAACTCCATGCTTGTCTGACTTCCTCTATGATAAAAAAAACAGATTATAATATAATATATTTAAAAAAGCTATGCAAAAACACATTTGTATTATTGTAGTCCATATATTTTGGAATGGTTTCAGTGACTCAAATTTATCAGTATCTCTTTCCGCATAAGGGTATATATGTATACCCATCTTTGTAATGTTTGTGGTGGATGCACCAGGTGGTCGTTCATACCAGAAGCTGGGCTTCTGCGACATGAACCTCGCGGAGCTGGCTGGATCAGGGGAGACGACGCGTCGCTGTCTCCTCGAGGGCTACGACAATAAGCCGCGTCAGAGGCAGGACAACTCCGTGCTGAGGATACGCATCAAGATGAACATGATCTCTGGGGATCCACTCTTTAAAGTGTGAGTTCATATAATGATTATAAACGATATTCTTTTCGTTCGGTCTTTCTTAGTGGTTTTTCAAATGAAGCTGAATATTTTGTTTGAACGCGCACATTTCAGAAACTACTGCTTCGATTCGAATATTCAAAAATTATTTTTGTGTTGACAAAACACCAAGCTGCGACCGATAGGAGCGAAGAAACACTAGCAAATGTGGAAAAAACGGGGAAAAGTATTCAGCTTCGAAGATTTTCGTTGCGTGCGCTGCGAAAACGGTTCAAGATACCGAAAAAATATGTTTTTAAAAGAATATATTATTCTTTTTTTTAAATTAATTCAGAATAACTATTTTAATGGCAAAAGTACGTTTGCGAGGTCAGCTAGTTAAATATATATATTTTTTATATTTAGGGCCAATTTAACCTAATTCATACTTTGTGAATCAAACTTAATATTTTTTTTTAAATAATATTCCAGACCTGAAAGTAAACAAGAAGTGACAGAGAGTCGAGCTACAGGCCCAACTGTCGACAACGGGACTGAAAATGCGCCAGCGCAGGATGATGACTGCGGGTCGTCTACGGCCAGTTCGGGTTTCGGTTCTCTTACCAAGAAGAAGAATTATGGTAACTGATTCATATATTTTAGTTTTGCTTTAAAATTCGTTCTTTATATGAGGACTTGTTGAAAATTAAAAAAAAAACTTTGCTCCCTCGTAAATTTACAGAAAATTCATAGCATCAGTACTATTCATATTATATAAAATAAAATTATGTTTCAGACGGTAGTCATTCGCAGCCGTTATCGTCGCTCCCGTCTTGTGAACTACCCTCGCCTGAGAACGAGGAACCGCCGACGTCCTTGGCGGACTGTCCAGGTAAGATACTATTAATTTTAACCATTTCGATAATTTTTCACATTAATATGAAATTATCTTTTCACGGAACAAACATATTGTTGCGTCTGTAGAAATAATCATGACAAAACGCGCTTTTTCGCCTATTATTTAGTTCAACTCTGTTTAATCTGTGGTTTATTATTGCAGGTCTGACGGTCCTGACCGGTTCCTGTGCGGAATGCCAGCAACAGCAGCATACGCATTCCAGAAATTCCTCGAACACGTCTGGTGATATGAGCAGCAAGGTAACTTAATTATTTCACTTATACTTGTTATACGATTTCTAAAAAGGATTTACTTGACAATAGACGCGATCAAACTTTGAGTTTCTACTATGTCAAACTTATTTTGAATTAAAGATGTATTGTAAACGGTTATTCCTCTTTTTTCAGGCGTCTGGTTACGGCAGTTCTGTGTCGGCTGCGTCGGCGCACTCGCGTCAGAGCTCAGAGGGAGACTCCGCCCCCGATCGACCGCACCATAATAGGTAATTAAATACTACACTATATCCTCTACTATCTATATTATCTTCTAAAAAAACACGTTTCCGTTTGTGATAATATCATCGATAAATACATATTTCTCATATTTTCACATTAAATATTTTTTTATTGTTTTATTTTTCTTTCTTTTTTTCACTCGTCCCGGATTTGAAAGACCGTGAAGTCAGTGAACTAGCTACGACAAATTCTTACGATATAAAATGATTGCAATATCTCTTATAATGTCCTACGCTGTACAGTTCAAGCTTCGTATAACAAGAGTGTTTAGCACGTAACTAACCCGTGGAGCCTGTTTATTAGCTTTTAATTATTTTTATTTTCTGCCTCCCTCCAATCCCCAAACTCCCTCCAAACTCCAAATAGTGTGCGCGTAGAGCGAACCACGAGGACGAGGACCACGCTGTACGTCCCCCGATCGGGCTGCAAGCACGCGGGACGCCTCACCAAGCTCGTGATCGAGCGGACGCTCACAGACACCTCCGACCTCTACCTCTCCCCCCCACTCTGACACCTCTGAGGCATATCTCACCCCGAACACGACCCTCACGGCCCAGCCTGATGTCATCCCCCGGCACGCGCTCCAATCCCCCGCCAGTGAAGAATACAGAACGCCAGACAGCACCATCGGTGATAACTCCTTCACGATGCCCACATACTTCGATCAGAAGAAGCGCGCCATCTCCATCATATCATCAGTGGTCGAGCCGCTCACTAACTTTCAAATACTTAAACAAAAGTCCTTGAACACCATACCGGGGCTTATAGAGAAAAATAAGAAGAACGAGGAGCTGTTCACTAACTTTCCGTTCTTGACGCCCCTCGCGCACAGAAAGAATTCTCTAGTCTCGAATAGACTATCCGGTTGCATAGAAGACGAATTCTATTGTATACCCTCGGAGCCAGAAGACCAGACGGAGAGGATTGATGTGCGACACAGGTTCAGGAGTGTGTCTAACAGGACTCTCAATGAGCAGATGACGTCTACGCCAAAATCCGAGGTGGAGCTATTGAGGCACAGTGTGGCCGAGTGTCCAAGGTGAGTGCCCGCGTGCTTGCCACCCCCCCAGTAACCGCCTAACACCTTATCCCCTACTACTCCCTCGATGCTGTGGTTGTGGGATACTTTCGTCTTTGTCTCTAATGTTTTTTCTGTTTCATCTAAACGCTTCGGGTTACAGGTGATATATTAATTGGTAACGCAATGTCTATCAATATTTCTTTTGTTTTCAGAGAATTCAGTTGTTTTCTTTTATTATATAGCAGGCGATGGTGCTGGCAAGAAGTTAGTTCCCGTGGATATTGTAGTTGTCTTCAACATAAAATACAGGAGGAATTAATACAATTATTCCATAGGTTTATGTGTTTACAAATAACAGACATACATTTTCTTTCACAGATATTTAACATTTAAAACATTGTAAAATGTAATATTTGTATTAACTAAGTAGCATTTACATTTATCTCCACAGATTAATTGTTAAAGGTTGAGGGGTAAAAAGTTTGAATCTTAGAATAACGTCAAGAATTGTATCGGTCTATATTTCTATAACAACAGATGACAATTGTATACATGTCAGTATAGACACAATTGTGTATATTTAAAGCTACTGTATAGTAACGTGTGACGTAATACGCAGACGAGATTGTGGCGTGGAGGGGCGCGCGTGCTCGTCGTGCGGCGCGTGCGCACTCTCGCACTCGCTGCCGCGTCGGCCCAGCTCTGCGCTGTCAGTAATACCACAATTACACAAACGCTACGCTTCAACTACTAAGATATTAGAAATTAATATTATATGCTATTAGCCAACCAAAACTATGCTACTGTGAAAAACATTTACTTTTTAAAATACGCGGTTTAGAACTTTTGAAGGGATCAAAAGACAAATGTAAAAAAAGAATGTAGACGTATTGTCTACTTACTACGGTGAGTAAAAAAATAGAAGCCCAAGGCTTGTTGTTGCGGATTTCAAGAAAGAAATAAATACTTTTTAATTCGTTTTGGTGAATAGCCTTTAAGGATTCAAAATCATATTTAAAAACCGGTTGAAGCGTGGTGTTTAGTTGTATAGATGTTGTCTCGTTATATCGTTACATTTATTTGCAGTTATAGTCGTATACTGTTAAAAAAATTATTATAATTTTAATCTAAGCTTCTTATCATTGATTGTTGTTTTATTTGAAGGTGGTGCATGTTTTTTTTTCGCTTAAGCATTGCTTGATACGAGCTTTATGATGCGTTGAAATGTTTTAAGAATATGGCGTTTATCGTTATTTAGATAAATATGTTATAACCTAATGTTGTTCAGTTCAGATCATATAAAAAATTTAAAAAATTATATCGCACATACCTTGAGACGAAGGTTCACATTTTAAATTTAATTTTAAATATGCACTTGGTAAAAAACAAGATAAGTTCAAAATCTCTGTTGTCTTTTCACAAACCAGAAGTAATAAGACTTAGTAAACCTTTGCGGTTAGCCAAGTTTTTTTTCAGTTTATTAGAAAACCCAAAACGTTCACGACAAACGTACTTGAAATATATAGATATGTGTATGTATTACAGAAATCCATCGTCAGGATCGTTGACCGCATCCGCGTCAGAATCTGGTTCGCTAGAACGCGCGCGCGCAGCACTCGAGCGACGGAAACGAGCAGCCGTGCCTCCGCCGCAGGATGACACGCAGGTGAGAAAAAAGATTAACGATGCCACGGATTTGAAAGGGATCGACATAACTCCGATCTTGTTATCAGGTAACAAGGTCAGGATCATATGATTGATTTTTTATAGATGTTGCATTTAAAAAAGTTGAAATATATTTGTATTGGCCACAAATAGGCCATTGTCTAACATATATCCAGCCTTGTGTCAACAAATTTATCATTTTTACATAGCTGAAGTCAGTAGTCATAATTTTGTTTTAATGTTCCGATTAAATTTGTTTTAAATGCGATTATTTATTGCTATTATTGTCATTTTTATATCATTCACGTGATGTGGGCTGTCAGATGTGTGGCTATCAGATGCTAAGAGTGTAGAAGCAGCGGAGATGGTCGATAGCGTTTTGAGCAAATCGCCTTGTTTTTCCCGACATATTATCTGTACCTTTATGTTAGCTGTTAATCGAATATTTAAAAATGTCTGATTGCTTATCATTTAAATCAGCACGCAGTGTCCTGTCGCGTGGAGAACACACGAGTGAACCCGAACGCGTTGATAGAGGAACTAATATCGGCCACTGACCTGAAACAGGCGGTAGAGGACCCCGCCGAAAGTGAGTATTAGAAATGAAAGCCCGCGCCGGGCTTGAATTAATTATCATTACTTTTTATTTTTTTATATTATTTATTATAAGCCGCGATTTCTATGTTCCTAATAAAAAGGAGCAAAATTAAGAAAAATGTTCACTCCCGCGAAAGCTCTTTCACTGTTGACACAAAATAGTTTAACTGTTTTTTGCCGACTGATAAAAGCCGTCACAACGAAGACCCTGGGTTCCATTAATTATTTACTAATATTGCATAAATCTATATACTATAATATAGTTACAATCGATCTATTAATGTGTTTTTAACAAAATGTTTTTCTTTTTACCTTTAAGTTTAATTAATTAAGAGAAAAATGTGTTCAGTATATATGCCTTCTCCACTAGCGTCTGGACTGCAGCTCTTCATAACTCCGGAGGGCACGGCTGAGTTGGGGTCCAGACAGAGGTCGAGGCAGCTCCCGCGGCGCGACTATCAACGGGTCGTGCTGCATCCGCATCCCCACCCTCACCCCAGGGACCACAGGTGATTAAGCAACCGATTATATTGATAACGTTGCCTGTTGTGTCTCTTATGGGCTTCTTACCATGAACTGAGAGGAGTCAGGTGGCTTTTCCGAATTCTTTCCATATTTGATTTTCTCCTGCGTCCTTTCGGTTGATCATCCAACCTTGGCCTTCTTTCTCTTTCCTTGCATATCATTTCATTATATTTAAGTTGTCTTGTTAAAAAAACAATACTTTTTGTAAAAAAAGCCTAGTATAAATGCGAAAATTAATATCTTCAATTTGTATTGCATGTTAATTACATTTAAACTATCATTCCCTTTAACATGTTTGAAATAAAGTGTAGTGTAATTCCACATGTTATTAAATATTCTAAAAAAATGATTTCACGCGTTTTAACGAACGTTTAATGCTAAATATACAATTGAGATAAGAGCTCTTTTGGGTAATAATATTGAATTTCAAAATGTGAGTCTTGTGATATATGTCTGACGTTATTCAATTTGTGCCAGGTAGCCAACGGCGTGAGAGTGCGTCCTTGCGCGCGCAATGCAAACCTGACACTTGATACCTGACGCGTCTTCGCTCAGCCCTTCGCTTAGTCTAATCGATGTCTATTTTTCGTCATGGACGATTCTCGTGGCGTCTTCAATCTTCCCAAGTCACATAGCGGACGACAGATGGCAGCATTCAATTTAAAGATTGTAATTCGAAAAACATCAATAGATTCTTTGTAGTTTATTCACCAAAATGAGTTGATAGAGCGTTGTCTCTTTCCTACAATACCCGAAAAATAAGAAGAACACAAACTGGCTCTTTCGTTGCCTATTACCTTGTTTCAGTGAATAAACTATGGTATCTCTTCTACTATACAAATGCGTATTGCTTTAAAAGTCTAATTCTGTACGTCACTTGGGAAAGTATAGTCAGTTTCGATTTTATTCGACGCCGAGTCTACGATTTAACGCACGAAAAATAGTGCTTCTATTAATTGTAATTGAAGGTAGATTTATGAAACTGAGGAGGGTAGTTTGAAAGTAATTTCAGCAAAGACTGAGATAATATTACTTTCGACAGAGATGAAAGATAATTTTAACCGTCTCCGATTCGTTATACTATGGCTCTCTATAATCTATTTTTCAAAACGAGTTAATAGAGCGTTGTCTCTTTCCCCTACGACCCAAAAGGAACAACGACAAAAATTGGCATTCTGCAGTTTCCTATTAACTCATTTTTGTAAATGGACTAGAGTCAATAACTTAAAATTAATGTTATATTGAGATTTTTGGCAAAGTGTGACTGACTGAGTTGAATTATATAAAATTTTAAATATTGACTATTCGTGTTGTCTTGTAATTTGGAAGTATCGTCTACTTGTAATGTATAGCATGTGTATGTTTGTATATAAGCCGTCGACCGGTCAGCGATCGCTCGCGACGATGCGTATTTATTGTTTAATGTATTATAATTTATGCCATACGTTTTACTACTTATAAATAATGTTTATTAGAAAGGGATCCGACTGGTGCTCTACTGCGAACTACGAATATTAGATAAACTCTAATTGTTTTTCCAAACATCTATTTAATCACTGTTTTAAATCTATTCGCATTATTTTATTCGGCAAGTAAAAAGAAATACCACTCAATTGATTTGGTAAAATCGTTTTTAGTAATGTTGTCAGCTACTCTAGCTACGGCCAGATAAAGTCCCTATTTGACTAATCAGACTATGATGCAGTGTGAGGACAGAATGTTAAAAAAGGTGGTCCAGCTTCGGATCCTGCGCTAAGTACCCTTCGTCGGCAGTCGAATGCGGTTGTGTTGTCAATCGTCAATTTTATACGACTTATGTTTTATAATGTAAGGTAATTTTAATTGTGACAAACGAGTACGTTCCTATGTTTCATGACTTCAGTGCGGTCGGATTGTAACGACGAAATTTAGTAAGACAATGCCATTAAATTTACTTTTAATGTCGCCAACGATCCAACAAATTTTTTGCACAACTAATAATGTATTAATAGTAAGGAAAGTCCTAAGAATATTTTCCCCTGTATGCATATTTTACAATTTTCAGGAATTTTAATGAAATAAGCGCCAATGTTTAATTCGCTGTGCATAATCTCCTAAACACAGTTATTTGTTGTGTTTAAAAGTGTTCTATGCTATTTAATTTGGTTTAACCTATCATACATATCTTATTTCCATTTGAAAATAATCGATTCAATTATCTTTTAGCCTCAACAATAAAATGAAGCACCCCTAGAGCTAATGTCCGTATCTAATTTGTCAAAAAAAATCACGTGTGAATAATGTTCATGATTTCTGAACGCTTCCAATGTTATATTTTTGTATATTTTTAAAACTATTATTTTGTACAGGGACCGCCCTCTCTTCTGATCTTCTATTCGGTGTAAGAACGGAAGTGCTCACATGACGGTGCTAAGTCAGTGTGTAGTAATTACTAGTTATATTTTGTGAGCTTACTTAAATGTGAGAGATGATGTCCGCGAGAGAATTTTTTAGCAAATGTTGACAAAAATGCGACGCTGTTTGTCGTAATTTCGTAATAAATTTAATCGAAAATCGTTCGCGGATTTGACTATCGCGTATATCTATGCCAATGTGACATGTCTTGTATGACAGTATCGTGTCTTCTTAGTCATACTTTGCACAACTGTATGAAGATAATTCTAAGACATGTTACATTTCACGGTTCGTGTTGGGCAAAACGCGAAACGCAATTACTTCCTTGAATAGAAAAATATGTATGAAAGCGCTTTAGCTTAGAAGTAAAGTTCAACCCATATTTGATATAATTTATACAATGAGACTGGCATTTCCAAACGAACTTATACTTCCAAAGCCCTCCAACTCCAGCCGGTTTTAGAAGAAGCGGCAATTAAGGCTTCACCCACGAGCGGACGTAACGTGATCATTTTATCAAATAGTATTCATAGTAAAGTAGATGATAATGGCATAATAAACGGACAGTTTTATTATAAAAGATGCCACACCATTAATATAGTCTTGTACTCTATTTACATTAATAGTTAGAATTGTTTAAACGTTCAATCTAGATCGTTCCGTACAATATATTCTTTTGATTCCGTCACCCCCGCTCGTGTGTCGACCTCGGTATGTGCGAGGGAGATAGCTAGATTCAATAGAAGTAATCTTAGTCATTCCTTAGCGAAAGCTTGAGGCTTGCCGTTAAATGAGCTGCCGTTTGCCGCCCGACGTAGTTGTAGTTGAATGGTTCCCGCGCAGCAAACCTAATCGTTAATGTAAATACGAAATTATGCATTCAGTATTACAATATAAATGCTAGTTTACCGTACATTATTCTATGTCGTTAAGCACATCGTAACGAGTGTTGCGATGTACGTCTCGGCAGATGGCGTGGATCGGGCGGGGCGTGCGCAACTATAAAATATCTTGTAAAACAACCTGTACAGTATTTGAATAAAGGACATGTTTAAAAACTATTGAAATTTGATTTACCTTTGTGTGTTTTGGGCAATATTGTAAAATGAAGGTATCATCATTTTACTGTGATTTATGCCTGGAATGTGGCCTAGAAGGCCCTAGTAGCAACCAACAAGGGGCTGTGTTTTGGTGTTCGGATAGATACAATACTAATTTCTGTTTTATTGTTTATTCAGTAAGTATAATGAGTAAAGGCCAATACATGTAATGCTAATACATCAATCATTTTGTCGCTTCGTGTGGACGGTAACATTGCCGCAGCCTCGGGCAGGTGCCCCGACATTGCAATGCACTACAAGTAGACATAACCTGCTCTCAACTCGCCATTACGTTAAAACAACGTTAGATCTAACCCTATTTAGTGCAAATAAGTTCATAAATAATATAATAAGTAATTTCCCCCCTTCCCTCAGTGATTCGACAGCGTGTTTTGTTGTAAAGTGTAAATAAAAAACGTTTCAAATTATTTTAATTCAAATAAAGCGCATTAAATCATTCGATGTACCAGGCTATCATAAACTTCTAGACGTCATTCTTCTGAGTGAGTAAGACGACAGTATACACCTATCCCAGTTGCTCAAGCGGCACGACTAGATGATTGGCTTGACTGCGCGCTGACCCGGCTGTTTATTGGTTGATACTAGAGATGGGCCGAGTACTCGGTTGATACTCGGTACTACTCTGCCTACTCAGCCGGTTCTTTGATACTCGTACTCGTCCGAATAACTCAGTTTTATTTTATTTGATAACGAGTATACAATTTTTAAGAAAAGCAACATATTTAGGTCAATATTATTTAAACAATAGTGTCAATTAAAAACTATTTATTAGTAGTTTACAAAATCTAAATTAAATACTGTCTATAGTTTACGCGAGTAGTACACATTTAAAGAAAACACTAACGGTTTACACGGGGGTGTCGCCCCGTGGTCGGGCCGAAGTTAAAAATTATTTTCAAATACGTTTAACTAATATATCGCGTTTTAAACCGTTAATGTGTTTTATTTAAATCTAAATTAATAAAATCAAAACTATGCTCATGATTCATGAATGAGTAGTAATGAGACAAAATTTCGTAAGGATAAGAGCGAGACGACCTCTTGACCGGCGCGAAGCTGTTTGTACTTGTTCACGCGCGCGAAAAGGAAATGTGATTAAACCAAGTTACTCGGTTCAGTTTAAACTCCTTTCCCCAAATCAATACGGTTTCAGACGAGGTAAAGCTACTAATGGCGCTGTACATGATCTCATAAATACTACTATACTAAATCTGGACAGTAAACTAAAGTGTATTGCAGTATTCTTAGACCTAGCCAAAGCGATTGATACTGTTTCCATTTCTTATCTTATAACTTGAGACACGCAAAATCAGAGACGCTACAAAAAATCACTTTAAAAATCTATTAAATAATTAAACCGTCAGCTTTTCATGAGTTAAATATAGGTTCGTAAGTTCTATATGATACTTCATAAATTTTAGAATTTCATTTAGGCCAGTTACACACGAGAGACAGTCGACAGCGAACACTTTATACCTTAACTAATTTATTCTAATCGTAAAATGGATGAGGCTACCGTCTGATCACCATCGATAATAAAACAATTTAATATCTAACAATACATCGATTTCGTTAAAATAATCAACGAAAAACAGTTATATCTCGCCGCGTCTTTTTTAATCTTGACCAAGACATTACAGGCACTGTACAGTAGGTATACCTCGGTACAGAGCTTGCAAAACGTGTACAATTTAAAGCTCGTCATCGTAGTCTCTGTATCGAGGCTATACCGTCTAACACGCAGGTAAATATAATATACTCTCTCTTTTACATCCCCATAAACACATAAATAAAAAAAAACCCCCCCCCCCCCCCCCCCCCCCCCCCCCCCCCCCCCAAAAAAAAAACCCCAAAAAAAAAAACCCCCCCAAAGAACCCCAAAAAACCCCCCGGCCAAAAGAAAGCCAAATTCAGTTATTTGTTAAAGGGAACCTACTAAATAGCTTCGAGTTAGGGGAAAATGATTGATTAAAGCGAACGAAAATGCCTATATCATTTGTCTCACCGTATACCGCTAGATACGCCCCTTCTCTGGTGGCGGCTTGAGAGCATTTTGCGTCGTCTTTGCTTTGGGATTGCAATACTTCTCTCCGGAAGTTAAGTACTTGCCGCGAGTAGCGAGCTTCCTCCTCATGTGCGCAGCCAGTAAAGCCAAGCCTCCTCCTAGGATTAGAGCCCAGAGCAACGCCCCGCCCACCACTAGTAGGATCTTTGTAGTATTATATACGTCTTCATCTGCTGTTAGAAGCTGTCGATTTGGATAATAGTAAATGTAATTGAACTTGAAATTTTAGCAATTAATAGCACAATGCTGTGCGAAGGCACTTCAAGGATAAGTCTATCTGAAGAGCGTAGACTATAGTAGAGGAACTAAAAATTAAATTTTAGTTCCTCTAGCTAGATTTGTAATGTAATGGAAAAGATTCAACTTTCACACTTAAGAAAATCATTAAAGATAAATTAATGTTTTTTCACATGTTTGCACCTGATGGCTATATCAATTAAAAATCTCATCAAATTTACTGTTTAAATATTAGTGAATAAATATACCTGCGCGCAATCTTTCCCTGTAGCGGGGTGTGCGCAGTCGCAATAGTAGTCCGTGGTATTTCTGCATCGCTGCGAGCAAGAACCACCATTGAGACACGGCCCGGTGCGGTTGGCGCCGTTCTCTTCGGTGAACACCTCGAAGCAGGGATCTGCTAAGGCACACCCGTCCCCGCAGAGACCGGGCGAGCATTCGCAACTGTAAATTAAACAAGACAAGAACATTAATAATAGGAAAGCAATATATCCATTCTCAATTTGTTTCCTACCTATGAACAAGTAGAAAAGCTATTAAAGGCAAAATATTAAAAGCTCAATAAAGAGGTAACAAAAAGTGCTTCTATTTTTCGAATTATATAAAAAAAGATTTTGTCATCCTGTCTCAAGGAATATTTGTAATTAATATATATTACTCACGTGTAACCGCCAGGTAGATTCCGACAGATTCCGGGCCCACAATCAACTAGCAGTTCGGCACATTCGTCCACATCAACCTCGCAACGGGTGCCACGCCATTCTGTAACAAATGTTTAAACATATGAAAAAGACTAGATATGAAAAATTACGAATATGATGATTCATAGAAAAAAAGGCTCAAGTAAACACAAAATTGTATAAACTACATGATTAATAATATAAATTTAAATAATTAAGTATGTGTAACAGTTTGCAGCGCCATCTGTTTTGGCTTCTTCGCGAAAAAAATGTTAATAATAACTAAATTATGAGCCACGTTGCGTAGTTGGAATATATAATAATATGATTACAAATCGAAATAAGCTAACTTTTGGATACATACAATAATCCTAAACTAATTTAACATCCACACAAGAATATCGCAAGAACACGTATAGCACTGCTGGTATGATCTCAAAATTAATAAAACTGTGACAAAAACGTAACCCATTACTGTAAACGTAAAAGACTTTCCCATAATGTAATCTTACCTGGAGGACAGTCACATTCAGCACGCCCCCTCGTCGTTCTACATCGGCCATTGTGCGCGCACGCATCCTCGCCCGCTTTAGCGCACGCGTCCAATTCACGCTCACATTGCCGGCCGCTGTAACCAGGCTCGCACAAACAGACAGGAGGCTAAAACGTTCGTTATGTTATATGGTTCCTGAATAAATACTTTATTATTTATTATTATTATTATTATACCATAATCTTTGAGAGTCTGAGCAGGTTTCCACCTCGCAGAAAGGCATCTCGCAGTGCACACCGACCCAACCCTCTTCGCAGACGCAGGTGTAGTTGTTGCCAGAGGACGCATCTAAAGAGAAAACTTATTTAAATAAAACATTCACTGGTAAACTTATTTATAACAAAGTTTAGCTCAAACATGTTTGAAAATTATATAATTTTTCCATAATTAATAAATTTTCCCCTTTTTCGAGATAAATCGAACTTGTCGAACTGTTTGGTCGAGCAGGGTTGGTAATATTTATATAAAATTCCATATTTATTAGTCTTCGTCAACTTGTATTATTTTTGAATTCTGAATTTACTACTTATTAAAGAAAATGGCAAATCTTACCTGTCTAAGACCCGATATATAAAAAAACAGTTCTTCTATTCTAGGAAATATTAATAATAATAATAACTCATAAAAAAGATAAGGATTTTTTTCCAAATCAATCAATGTGTTTGTTCAGGAAGTATGGTTTGAGTTCACATAATGTGGAATGTATCGTTTTTTACGTCCAATATACAATGATTTATATTTATTTATGGGATTTTTACTCTTTATGTAAGAGCAAGTAAAAGTATTTGGATTTTTTTACGTGTAACGAAACGATTTGCCATCAATGCGATTGACATTTTGCATCACGGACAGTTTTTGTTTTTGTTTTGACACGTACTACGTTTAAAAACTTTAATCGTCCCTCCCATAAACTCATTCTACTTTTTACATAAATGTTTATATACTTAATAGAAAAAGCTCGTTAACATGCTCATTTCTGCAGTTGAAACATATGTAAATTAACTTATGTGTCGATTCTAACCTCAAAACTGTCTTTGACGATATTAAACTATGTTGGCTTTTTAAAAAATGTTTTCGTATAGGTATAGTTTCGTAAAGTATTTAAAACAAAGGTAAATCGAACCCTTTGTGATTTGTTGCTGGTCCGAAAAATAGAAACCCACCATAGACGTCAGTGCACGAAGCGTGCTGGGCGCACGGCGCGTGCGCACACGATCTGTCGCGTGGCAACTGGCAGCGAGCTCCGCGCCTCTCGGGACTGCACTCGCAACGGTAACCGCCGGCCAAGTTCACGCAGCTCCCGCCGTGGGCACACGGACTCGACTCGCATTCGTCTATGTCGTGCTCGCATCTGAACAAAGAATTCAAACATATTTCTGTGACCCTTTCGCGGATCCAATAATTTAAATTTTTCGGTGGTAAAAAATAACCCAACTAAAATGGTGGAATTGAAATATGTACTCACAGATCACCGTCATACCCCTCTGGACAAAGGCAGAAATATTTGGCGACGTCATCTTTACATTTTGCCCCGTGCTGGCACTGATTGTTCTCACATTCGTCTATATCAACCTGTTAAGAGAAAAATAATAGCATAACTTGTCATGTTCTCAGCCGAAGGTTTCTACAAAAGAGTATGTGACTCGATTACTATGGATTTAGTTTACAACTACAAAAATATGAATTTAACGTAACTTCTTTAAATAATGTGTATATAGGGTCAGGGTCCGCATTATTTTAAGAAAACACGAAATCACTTAAACAATTCTTTTTTTAATAAGAACAAAAAAAAAAAATATCAAAGCGTTGGTCCTTTGCTGTCTTTTATAATGGGTGTCAAGAGGTGGCATACCACCAGTTGTTTACAAAAACAGATGGCGGCGCCGTCTGTATATAAAATGAGTGTTTTCAATGTATCTTTACTGGGCCCTCCAAAACCTATAAATTTTCTATTTCCTTAGTTGTGCTTTCGCGTGTACTTTTAATGGAATAGGGAACCTTTTATAATATACCTGACAATAATCTCCCGCGTAGCCCGGCGGACATGCGCACGAGTAGCTGTTTCTTACATCCTCGCAGTGTGCGCCTCGTTGACACTCCTGTTCCAAGCACAAAACGCAACCAACGCCTTCGCTCCAGCCCCACGGTGACCCAGAACTGTATAAAAAACATAAGATAAAATGTGATCGGTATATTAAGAGCAATATAGTTTCAAAAAAAGAACGCAAATAAACCTACAGTAACGCGTAGTGCGGCTGAGCGGCGAGCAGCGCTGCTGCAGGACCTAGGAAAAGTTCTTCCTCCGTGAAGTAGGGCAGCAGAAGCCCGCCCACGTGCACTGCTCCGAGACAACCCTAGATAATAAAAATAATTTAATTGTGACCTCAACTAAATGTGTGTATGCATATAATTTTAGAAGAATAAGAAATAATTGACTATAAGGTGGCAACATTATCCAGCCAGATATGACTATCCTTATATAGACAAGTACTTTTCATTAAATTAAATGGAAAAAATTGCAATTGAAACACACACTTTTTTTACTTATCGAAATGCATACACACCCATATAAAAACGTTTTTTTACATACCACAAATGTGGTAGCCGTAGTAGGGGGGCGTGCCTTAGTAGTAACGGACGCGTGTCCTTTCGATCCTCCCAGTGTGATGACACCGCGCATCATAAGCTTCTGCCAGGCAGCCACGTTAATTTTGTCCATCAAGCTAAATTCTTCATGGCCCTCTTGGTCAACGAAGGTACCTACGCAAAGTATTTAAAACGTTATTCGCAAATAAGGTAGAAAACATTAGTTTCTAAGTTGTGTACTTCTTACAAGAAATAAATAATTATGCTTCATTTAAAGCATTTCTTAATGATAAAATAAAATTGCTCTTTCTCTACATTAACAATACTTCAAAAAAGTTTACATAAAGAAGCCGATTAATTATTCTACATAAAACGAATTTGTAGTACATGAATGACTTTGTTAAATGAACGAAGCTCAAGTAAGCTATTCCATTATTTAAGCTCTAAAAGCGAACATTTCAGTAAATAATGATTTCTAATAATTATTACCTTTAATGTGATCATCCGCAAGCGTAAGCCTGAGCGTGGTCCAACGAAGAGGATCAATGTGAGCTCTCAGTGTCCGCAGAGCCGGCAATCCACCAAGACGCCATTGTAGCGTCGCTTGACCTCGGTAGACGCCCACGTTGAACCAAGACACGCCGCCATTAGTCGTATTCTTCTCTGTTTCGATGCCTTCTGTGTCATCTAATTCAGCATGGAATATCCTTCCACCTACTTTGCTTCTGTAAAATATACATAGGTTTAAAAATTCTCTCTTATAATTTTCGGGAAAATGCTAAGAGTTTGCCAAATAAAAAACAAGAACACAATTTGAATTTATAATTTTCCGAAGGTAAACAAAACAGAAATTGATTGGGATTATTGTTTTTCATATTTATTTATCATTTTAATTTTAAAGCACTTACCTATAAGTAAGAGTGAGCATATGGGGCGGATCTACTTGTTCGGCGAACGCGTCCGCTGCCGGTGTCCATAGCTTGTACGTTAGTGTAGTGTTCATTCCGTCAAATGTAGCGTTAGAAACGCATTCGAATCTGAAAAATTGTTTAAAAACCCGTTCAGTATATGACTTTGTGATAAGTTAAGGAGGTAGAAAAGCTGTGTATATATAATACGTACCCTCTATCAAGATTACGACAGTGCGAATTCAACGGGCATCCTTGAAGCTGACAGAATTCCACTTCATCACACTGCTTGCCTTTGTAACCACGAGGACATGTACACCTTTAAAGGAAATCGTTTTATGAAGCATTGGATACAGCAATATTTAAAATAGAATCCTGTACTTAAAATATGCATTTAGAAGACTGAAAGACAATCATCACTAGTCTTGCTTCTTACTTTTGATAAGTGTAAAAACCATCAGATAACATACAACTATGTAAAAGTAAAAAACTTAAGGAACAATTTATGAAATCCTTAAAAATTCAATTGATATATTCTTTTATGAAAATCCTTTTGGTGTAAATAGCTTACATGTAATCATTCCAAGTATTAGTGCAAATCGCGTTGTAGTCGCAAGGCATGGATGCGCAGACATCATCAGAGATCACACCACGCAACACCCCTTCCGGATCTAGCTCCACGACCCCAAATGGTGGTGGAAGAGACACTTCCTCCACTCGCAATGGGAAGAATTCTACAATTGTGACGTTCAGGCCGTTTGATATTTGCACATCTTGGATGACGCCCTTGAAGTATTCAGCGTCGTCTGGCTCTGGTGATGGTGGTAGGGGCAAATTGGTTGGAATTGTCGGAGGGCCACCTAAATACAATACCTTTGAATTGATATTGGCATTAATTGAAGATCAAAAGTCGAGGGTAATTCATTCACACTTATATCAAATTTTTTTTGCTTATATTGTTTTTAAAGTCGGAACATATGTTTATCATTTAAAAGTTCGTGCAATTGTAAAATTAGTAGTAAAATACTAATACTAAATTACTAATCATATATCCAAAAACTACTGACCTGTGCGTCAAGCTGTTTGGCTGCTGAAATAGATTTCCTGAAGTACTCAGTACCGTTAAGTTTAATTTGGACCAACGTTGAATTTCGCATCACCTAAAATTATGAGAAAGTACATTTTTGTATCGATTTCCTACAATTACCACGAGTCTGAGCACGAAAAAACAATTCTTACCTGGATAAGATGCAAGTGTCCATTGTCTAATCTAGTGCCACCTACTGTAAAGTTTTCGGGTGTGTGGTTAAGACGCAAATGTACCAAGAGCTCACCACCCTTCAACGATGCTGCCACTAAAGTTTCATCAGTGCCTCCATCTCTAGGGAAAATTAATTAATTAAAATTATGGTTGATTAAAAAAATTTCATTTTCATCTAGCAATCGAACCATCATAAAAATTTTATTAATATTTAGCAATAGAAAAAATCATAAAGACCTACCTGCTAAATCCAGAACCCAGATAGAAGATTTGGCCAGTTGGCTTGCGCGTACGCACGAACATAGATATATCGATCGCCGCGTGCACGGATCGTCGGGCTAGCTCAGACACAGTCACGACTACGATAGAGTGACGACGAGCCGACTCCTGTCCAAAGGTAGCTGCTGTGTAGTCTGATAAAAAAAAAGATAATATGTGTTTAATCAAACTTTATGAATACATCATATCCAACATTATTTATTTTGACAAAGTAATGAATCACTTAAATAGCTTGGTGACGTGTCACTAGAGACGTTGGTCCGCACACCTAGACAGTAGACGACTCTGTACGAACATACCTTGCGAGGCTCGAACATTACGGAATGACGTAATCGGTTACATCAGTTGCATTGGCTTGCAAGAGTCACATCCGTATAGTATCACTGTCCCGGTCTAGTCCAAACTACCCACGCCTTCATAAAAGCATTTTAATAATAGCTGACATGTTTATGATTACAACTTATTTTTTTATTCCTTTTGCAGAAGTTACTTACTGTATTGACAAGTGTGTCCCAGATACGGTCTAGGACAGGAGCAGGCAAATGTCGTCCAGGCATCTCCGCAGTGTCCCCCAGATTGGCATGGGTTGGGTTCGCACTGCGGCGTACGAGGGCAAGAAGCGAGCACGCCCCTTAGAACCACTCTCGCCCCCTCCCCCTCCTCGTTACGTTCTTTCGTTTCTGTTTCTTCTCCTTCGCTGTACCCGGGCTGTGCTCCCGTTAAGCCTTCTGGTATAATCTTTTATGAAAAAAAAAACAGTAAATTGTAGTATTATATATTTATGTTACAAATAATGTTACAATCAAATGCACCGAAAACTGTATATAAATAATTATTTCTATTGTTATTAGAGTGAATTTGTTTCTTTAGTTAAAAATCGATTTAAGATGGAAAAAACGGCACGGGCAGAACCTGAACGGGCATCAACAGCGTTCGTTCCGCTCTAACGCATTGAGCTACCGTGTCATCGTCGAATTTTATCAACCTCAATAGATTAAAAACACAATGTAATTTTTGCCTTAACAATGGTGTTTTTTTTTTAATCATACTTCCATTTTTTTTTATGCTATCGTGTGCAGTTAGAATTAATCCCATATTTAATGAATTTGAAATTGTATATGTACCCAATGCTGGTTAACGACGACATCTTGGAAGCAGCCAACGAAGTAGTTCGGCCCGTGCGTGAGAGTGGCGTACGACGATCCGGTCATGCCCAGCCGCGTGGAGGGGAACGAAGTGACGCTGGCGTTTAACGCCTTGTTCTGACTGATCGGGTAAATCGCTTGCTCCTCGTTGGCGGACAGAACCACGTGGGATGAGTTTATTGTGACGAACACCTGTAATTTTGAAAAGGCGATGATTTCTGTAGCCCATATTAAGAAATTTAAAAACAGACAGATGATATATCTAACTAATAGCATTTTAAACCGTTAACATTATCAATTATCAACAAAGTGTTTTATTTAACATAATATAGATGATATTTTTACTATTCCACCCTAATTATTTAAACTGTTACTTTTGTCTTAAACTGTAAATTTACAAATCTAGCAAAATTATTTAGGAACATATTAAGTAGTTGTATTAGTTAAAAAACAAAAAAAAGGAATACATTTACCGTTAGGAGGACATATTACAAAGAAATACGTATTGCAACATTCTCTCCATACAATATAAATCAACAGCATATGTTTATACCTCGTACATGGAGCTAATTTTCATACTTACCGTAAAAGCTACACACATCTCCTTATGACTACGTACTAAATCATACAAATGTTGTCTCACCTTTTGCCAATTACTATCATTCAAGTTGGATCCGATAAAGACCCCTTCCCATTTATTGAGAAGACTGGAATGCAGATTCAGTCTACCATTCGACAGTTCTAGGAAGAAGTACGTCAACCCGCGTCCCATCGCGAGTAGTCCATTTCCGAGGGTAGTTTTGAAACGGAACGATATATCGTATCCTTCTTCGCGTGATGTATTCACTTCTACAAAGCTACTCTTTTCCATGGACATTGTCGTTATCTGAAAACATAACTCAACTAAAAATATATATGTAATGTTTGCTATGCAATTTTTTTTTTTGTCAATACCTAACCCTAGAACCTCTAAACAGTACATAATTATTTATTTCTATACTCTACCTTTTCACAAGTAGTACCATGGAATCCAGGTGCGCACGAGCAATTGAATCTGTGGTCCGTCTCGTGCGCAAGCCAGGGGAGACACGTTCCGCGATTGGCGCAGGGATCCGATATGCACCCCTGCAACACCACTGAGCAATTGCGACCACCCCAACCTGGTTCGCAAAGACACATGTACGAAGCGTGGCCATCGTAGCACCGCCCATGCTGGCATGGCTCATATCTGGAAGTGATTTAAAATAATGCTTATTTCTTCCCTTAACAAGAGTATATATGAAACCATAAAATATTTTAGTACCTGATATTATTTTAATTTTTTATTCTTCTTTATTATATCTGTAATTCATCCAACATACATATTTTTACCATTCGATTTTACCAAAGCGAATTGAGCAATATTAGTTAGTATAAAAAAAATACCTGTCATGTCTCGATATACATGTCCCATGTCTTAAACAAGGCTCGTTGTAACAGTGGTCTTTCGGCGGTATCCTTAGAACGTCTTTTCTATCCTTGCCTAAGACAAAATTTAAAGTGTTTTTTAGTTTCGTCCGTGATTTTTATTTTCTTTTGATTGTTTAAAAAAAAAACAATTTATTATTAATAAGGTCTTACATTCGTCAGTAGTAAGAGGACAATGTCCAAATCGCACATTAGTCTGCAGAAGATAAGCAGTGTGGAACTCCAGTTGTGGTCCCTCGTGCAAGCAGCCGCTGAAGAGGTTGCCGACCACAGCGCCACCGGCTTCCAAAGCGCCGGCTGAAAGAAGCTCTCCGTTCCATGTCACATTTGATATCACCTGAAATCGAGGTTTATATTGTAAAACTAAAACTATCGGAATTTGTGTATCGATTGTGTTCTTCGTTGATTTACAAATTAAAAAACTATGATATTTTTATATGCACTCTACATCTTTTACAATATTTTTAGTCTAATTAAAAAAGTGCAATATTAGGAATGCTTTCAGGAGAAGATAACATCGGTCTAATGTGACCTTCATTAGTTAATCTTATTTTTCCAATTGGAACTTTTTTCTTTTTTTTACGAAACGGTTGAAGATGAAAATAATGCTAACCAGCGTTTCTTTATCAACTTCAAGTAACAGCGCTGGGGGGCTCGGCCGGTACCGTAGCGCGACCCAGTGCCACCGGTTGTCCAGGGTCTCTTTTGCCAGACCAACCTCGCGCTGAGCCTGACCGGGTCTTGACCAAGAGACCACCACTTGTTCGTACAAAGCCGTCACATGGAGGGTGTAGCTTTCCGACCTTTGTGAAAATAGTTCACCACCTGTTAAAAAACAGTTTGTTTTCATTCGAGCTTATTAATAAGGGAATAGTAAATAACCTTTTAATACAATAAGTTTAATAGACTCTACTTTTACAATAAGATTTGTCCATTAAAAAGTCTACACGCACATACCACTATACAACTTTTAATCCAGTCAATCGAATCGATGCGCAAGAGTTGCCGAGGACCACTTTATTTTTTATGTTTAAAAAGGATTATTTTTTTAGTAAAAAAAACCAACAGAGAGCAGTTACCTATAAACTATTGAATATATGTATAAAGATTGAATTACTAAAATGGCTATTAAAAAATAAGGGTTGATCATAGAAGGGTGAAAATTGAGAATTGTATATATTTTTGTATGTTATATCATAAAAAAAGAGAAATTAAAAATTTTGTCAAAAACAAAAAAAATAGGGATGCACTACCCCTAATATTTAGGGGGATGAAAAATAGATGTAAGCCGATTCTCATAAATACCGGATAAGCACAAAAAATTTCATTAAAATTGGTCAAGCCGTTTCGGAGGAGTATGGCAACGAAAACTGAATTTTATATATTAGATATTATCTACAATGTTCACTCCTGTAACAAGTATTTCATACCAATCTATAACCTTTGGAAATTGTCTATTGCTCGAACCCCATGCTTCTGCTGATTCATGAATGATTTTGGCAAACACTCGTTTAAACTCACCAACTGAACCCTCGTTGCTAAACCAAATGCAGATATTGTACCGGTCGTTCACTCCATCATTTCGCATGACGTAATATTATAACGATCATAGCTGTAGGCGAACACAACAAACTGTTACGTGGCCAGAATATAAACTTTTAATTTAGCAGACATCAATCAATTGATATATACGAGAGCTTTCATCTTATATGATTCTTCGGATAATTTGAAATACGCTCAGCCTTTCTTCATCATGAACTAGTCTTTTGCAAGGCAGATATTATTCACTTGCAAAAGACTAATACATTTTCGTTCACTAACTAATAATCTATATGCTTACCAACACAAGTGCGAAAGCTTAACCCGACGAGCTGCTTCAAGGATATGGGCCTGGATAAGCGTATGTATGAGCTGCCATTGAAGTAAGCTTCGGGACGATCTGATGGGCCGAGGGAAGTAGCTGCCTCGCTCAATAGTAAGGCGAAGATGGAGAGCACTATCCAGCCTGAAACAGAGATTTTATAAAAAAATAACGTAAAAAGTTTTTTTTAGCGGGCTGGTGCCGTAGACTCTCTTAGTAAGAGGACGAAAAATGTATATCTAACATAAGTAACAATTCTAAAGCTTGTCTGATTAAATTAAGTCCTACGTGACAAGTATATTATGTTTCACGTCCATTCTTTCAATAATAATAAAATATACTTGACATTGAAAATAATATTTTGCCTCGAGGAGATAGATATATATAATAAGAAAGGATTGTCTCTACCTACGCGAATACCACATTATAATATTAGTATAAATTATAAAACTATGTAATAACGTTAAAATATTAGAAAGATTTCTCGTTTCTAAAGTTTAAAAGCTCTTAAGAAGAAAACTTTATTCTTGTCATAGTCGCGCAGCCAATATTTCGAAACCAATTCGGTTGTTCTCGCTAACGCTTATATTTTACGACACGTAACGGTATCTGATGCCATCATTACATTGTTGTGATGGTGGCCCCTCGAGTTTTCCTCGTATCTCGCACTGCATCGAGATATGCTTGACCGGTATTCAAATAACAAAGCATTTAAGCATAGCGTCACTGCTTACGCTATTTTCGGTTTCTTGACAGAAGTCCAATTCTTCAAACTCTACCAACTTCAGCCACATAACATTTAGAGAAGTTAATTACGCTTTGGACTCTCGGCAGTCAACAGAATGTAATCGAATGACGAATAAAATTCGGGTTTTTTATCTGTGGACGTGAGTCCATGGCCCTAAACCAGGACGTTAACCCGCCGCTATGTAATTTGACTCTATGACTTAGCATTATTTATAGTCTAGTTATAATAAAATAATGAGTTTTGCTTATTTAAAATGAAACCATATTTTATGTTGTTCGGCTTCAAATAACAAATTTTGGTTGTAATTTTGTTTGTTCAGGTATAAGAGTGATAAGCGCGCTCGCCGTGTTTGCGGCTAGACCAAGCCCGGGCACGGCCGCTCACCGCGATGTAAGTGGTCGCAACTAAAGAGATGGACAAAGCGGCCGGCGCTGCGGCCAAAGGATTACATTGTGGCAATAGAGTCACGTCGTCAATTGTTTTGTGACGTATCGTTAAAGGTTGGCCTCATCCAGCGGGAGCGGTGTGGTGAGATAGCCAGTTAGCATCAGAATTGAATATTGACTAACTTTATAAACTGACTGATTTAATGAAACCTGGCAAAGTCAAATATAGCTTTCGTCAAGATTTTACATTTTTTTATAACAGCAAATGTTGTACATATCCAATAAAGCAAAGAAATAGAGTTTATTACTTAAATACTGTCTATAGTTTACGCGAGTAGTACACATTTAAATAAAACACTTCAACTGTCTAAAACGCGATATATTAGTTAAAAATTGTGCTGCTTTACTGTAAAAAGAATGGAGATCTAAATGAGTGCCAAGTTCTATGCAAAGTCCAAGTATGTACTTAGAGGAATGAAATAATATTATAAACAAGTCATACACTTTTAAATAAAAACGCTTAAGACGCGATATATGAAACTTATTATACTTATTGTTTATTGTTAAACTTATTTGAAAATATTTTTAACTTCGGGCCCCCGGCAATCTCCGCGTGTTCTGCTGCAAAGCATCCGCGTTTACTCTCGTAAACTACAGACAGTCGGTATTTAAAAGTAAATTGCTTGTCTATAGTTTACGGAGTAGTACACATTTAAATAAAACACTTTAACGGTTTAAAACGCGAAATTAGTTAACTTTTGAAAATGATTTTAACTTCGGCCCGACGTTTCGGATGCTTTGCAGCAACCACGGTTAAAAAACGGACCACAAATAAGTTTAACTAATATATCGCTTTTAAACCGTTAAAGTTTTTATTTAAATAAATTGCTTGTGTACAGGTTAAAGTTTATGCTGCTTTTGACTATCATATCCTTCTTAACACATTTTAAACACATTTAAGTACACGCCACAGGTTTATAATTGCAGTAAAACACGAATGTAGATGTGGTAAATAACATCACACCACCTGTGTGATGTTATTTACCACATTTCTTGTTTGATTCATAAGGCAATGAGGACTGCACAAACCTGCCGCGACTTTCAACATGAAACCTCGACTCCAAACCCCCAAATCCATCTTCATTGTGTTAAATTATTCAAACAAGTACTCAATTATTATTTGGATTCAACACATAGAACTAACTATCACATTTTCACTTAAATTAAACTAATCGGGCTAATATATCAAGTAACACGAATAAAGAAAAATAATTATTCACGAAATAAAAAAATAAAGCGACATCGCACTACGCTCACCCGACAATTTCTTCCATGATTTGACTGAATATTTTTTATATATCTACCAGTATCAAATGACTATTGACGGCAGACCACAGACTATAGACTATTGTTAGGAGACGAAGATAAATCTTTATTTTCCAATACTACAGACACGTTTCCGAGTCATTAAATTATGTTTTGAAGCAGCCTCAAACTTGTACAACAAACGACTAAGGCCACAGATTTTTTTTGTAAATATCCTTGCATGTTTTCGATACAAATATATACAGATACGATATGTCGTTATTTATTAAAATAAAATATACTTTATTCTCTCTAAAATTTTAAAAATTATTTAGATTCGTCAAAAAATTTTTGTTTGTCTGTCTGTTTGTCGTGATTCTACAGTGTCCAAAAGAGCAACATAACTGAGAAGAACAATCCAGAAACTCAGTCCGGCATTTTTAGTGAGTATCAACTACGTGGTAATATTATTTTTGTGTTTGTAGTTTCGCTTGATTTAATTGAATATTCGATACATTGCGATAATTATTTCTCATGACTTGTAGGTAGTGTAGAATTTATTCTGATCTTAGGTAACTCGAACCAAAACCAAACGGGTACCTCGAGTGTAGCATCGGAAAGTAATATGAGGCTAGTACAGCGTCACCGGAGCTCGAACTAGCCAGTAAATGTGTCCATTACATTTATTATAAATGAAGGTATCATAATTTTACTGTGATTCATGCCTGGAATGTGGCATAGAAGGCCCTAGTAGCAACCAATAAGGGACTGTGTGTGTTCGGATAGATACAATACTAATTTCTGTTTTATTGTTTATTCAGTAAGTATAATGAGTAAAGGCCAATACATGTAATGCTAATACATCAATCATTTAGTCGCTTCGTGTGGACGGTAACATTGCCGCAGCCTCGGGCAGGTGCCCCGACATTGCAATACACTACGAGTGGCCATAACCTGCTCTCGACTCGCCTTTAAGTACTAACGTTAGATCTAACACTATTTGCACTAATTCATAAATAATATACTCAAACTATTTACAATTTAAAACCGTTAAAACTCGGACGCGAAGTACTACGGATATATCACAATAAACTTCGACCTTAAGTTAAAATAGGAATACAAGTCAAATAAACACAATTGAGTATAGATTAGATACAATTACCATAATATTTAGCTTGCTACACTTTATTGGACGCAATAAAAATTAAACGTTTATATTAAGTTACCTATTTAATGTAAACTTTGTTATTAGTTAAGTACATTTTGTTAAATTGGTGTATTTACAATAAAACATGGAATGTTCACGAATACTTGAGCAAAAATACTGCATTGATATGGTTAAAAGCATTTCAATATCCATTCAATAGTGAAATACAGCAGTAACTATTTATAACGATAAACTCTCTGTTACATAAAAAGTAACTTTGTTTAGCTAAAAGCCAATTATTGATATTCACTCCATATAACGTCGACTCTATGTAGATAAACATGCTAGGTCCCTCGAGTTTCGTTATAAAGTTTTCACTGTATTTCAAATTTCGCTACGTGTCAGAAAAAATATCACTACTGTACTTATCTACACACTTTGCATAGCTGCTAATTTAATTTCATTAATCATATGGTCAAATTAGACTACTTCTATAATATTGATAGTAGTCTCTTTAATATATTCTCTCAATATAACAGACTTCTGTTTAAGGCACTGGCATCCGTCGCCATCCCTGTACACGGTCCATCTCTGTTTTACTTTGTTGTAAAAATAATCAGATAAGCATAGGGCAGTAACGTCACAACGACATGCACTGTCGACCTAATTTGGCTATGAACATTCAGAAATCTACGGAAGGACATCGAAACGCGATAAACTTCACTATTTTTTTATCGGTAGAAAAATTTTATATTGAGATTTTCGGACGAAGTTAAAATGTAAAAAAAATGCATTGTTTAGGAACAAATTGCTGAAGAAACGAGGAGAAAAGACTACTTGAATAAGTTTATAGAGATGTAATAATGAAGCAAAACAGAGATGGGCCTGACCGGATTCAACGCGCACGAAAACCTTTACTATGAGATAATTTAGAATCTTCACGCTTTCGTTCCACTTACACTAAGTATATACATACAAAAGTAAGGCAGACAAACTGGAGATACTACGAGACACGAGTTAAGACTAGCCGAAGTACTGTAGAGCTACGAACAAATATTAGATTCTACAAAGACGCTACCAAAAAATCACCTGACAAATCTATTGAACCGCCGAATCTATTAAATAATTAAACCGTTAGCTTTTCATGAGTTAAATAAAGGTTCGTAAGTTCTACATGATACTTCAATAAATTCACAAATTTAGAATTTCATTTAGGCCCGCTATACACGAGCGACAGTCGACAGCGAACACTTTATACCTTAACTAGTTTGTTCTAATCGTAAAATGGATGAGGCTACCGTCTGGTCACCTTCGATAATAAGACAATTTAAGATTATGAAGATCTAACAATACGTCGATTTCGTTAAAATAATCCCCAAAAAACAGCGTTATATAACGTACCCTCATTTTAAAGGGAAGATACACGATACAATTGATGTTATTTTTTCAATATAAACTAGAGACAGTACAAAAATGATCTTTTTTACTCATTTAAAAAGAAATTGTAATAATAAAAAAACGCAATAAAAAATATAGGCTTTTTTTGTTTAATTGTATATTATGTAGAGAATTTTCAAAGTAAATCCGAAATATATTTAGAGTTTAATGTTTGATACGCAATAATTCATTAACATTCATTAAATCGTCAAAAAGTATATTTCTAATAATGCGGGTAGATTAACATTTTACTACGATTGAGTCGATTTGAATACATTTGTTTAACTTACAACTAAGCGGTTTATACTATGTACACTATTAAACTTTTAAAAGCTAAATAGCTATTCTTTGTCTTAGCCACGCTAGACTAGCTATTTAGTTTCAAAACCGGTTTCAGGTAATAATTTTGACATACATTTAGTACAGTCGGTTAAAAATTAGGAATTATTATTTTTATACTAAGCGACACGAAAATTATCATTTTTTCTTTGAAAGCGTTTTAATTTTGTTTATATATATTGAAAAAGAGAACAGAAAATTATACCTATATATTTTTTTAAATGGATAGTTATTAAATTAAAGAGAGGGCCAAGAAAAATATAGGTTCATCATTTCGTGCCGTATCTTTTTAAATCTTAACCAAGAGATAACACCGACTGTACAGTGTACCTCGGTACAGAGTTTGTAACATGTATAATTTAAAGCTGCGTGTGAACGTATTCTCTGCATCGAGGTTACACAGTCTAACACACAGGTACATTTTAAACACGTCTCTATCACACCCCCATACACACACATATTACGATTTGGTAGACACGCGACGAGCTTGCGCATGAGTTTCGCCACTTGAATATTTTGTTCTAGCCCCAGTACTGAAATAAAGAACACTAATCTTTAGTAATCCGTGAATGGAATCTCATCAAAAAGCTTCGACTAAGAAGAAAATTGATCGATATAAGAATGCCTATATTATTTGTCTCACCGTATAACGCTAGATAAGCCTCTCCTCTGGTGGCGGCTTGAGTGCATTATGCATCATCTCCGCTCTGGGATTGCAATACTCTTGTCCGGAAGGCGAGTACGTCCCGCGCGTAGCTCGCTTCCGCCTCGCCTGCGCAGCCAGTAGAGCCACGCCACCACCCAGGATTAGAGCCCCGAGCAGCGCTCCGCCCACCGCTAGTAGTATCTTTGTAGTGTCATATCCTTCTTCCTCATCTGCCGTCAGGAGCTGTCAAATTTTGAATAGTTAACATAAGTAAATTTGTTATTTTAGCAACTTCAATACCATGAACTAACATGAAATAAAGGAAATGATTGTTTATTCTGTTAGACGTCATTTTTCAAGTTATACAATATCAAGCTACTTACTCAATACAACGTAACGAGTTTTACCCTTGAAGGTTATTTACTACCCTTATTTTTATTGTATCAGTTTTACTTTTCGCTTATTTAATAAGAATTAGGACACGGGCAGGTTCTTTAACCGGCATCCACGGCGATCCGTTCTAACCAATTGAGCCGCTGTGTAATGCGCACCTCTCGCGCAAGGTAAATGCAACCTTAACACTCGCGTATTAAGGTTCAACGTCTTATGCTTTGCAGCTTAAGACATCATTGAAGATGAAATCACAGAGTTTAATGTTTGAAAACTTTAATATATTTTACACGTTATTTCACCTGATGGAACTTGTAAATTAAAAATCTCATAAAATTTACCATTTAAAATAATTGTAAATAAATATACCTGCGCGCAATCTTTCCCTGTAGCGGGGTGTGCGCAGTCGCAATAGTAGTCCGTGGTATTTCTGCATCGCTGCGAGCAAGAACCACCATTGAGACACGGCCCGGTGCGGTTGGCGCCGTTCTCTTCGGTGAACACCTCGAAGCAGGGATCTGCTAAGGCACACCCGTCCCCGCAGAGACCGGGCGAGCATTCGCAACTGTAAATTAAACAAGACAAGAACATTAATAATAGAAAGGTAATATTTTCAATTTGTTATCTACCTATTAACAAGTAGAAAAAGTATCAAAGGAAGGTTGACATTTCTTAAAATAAAAGGTAACAAAGGATGCTACAATTTTTTTGAATTTTCATGAATATTTAATATTTATTACTCACGTGTAGCCACCGGGTAGATTCCGACAGATCCCGGGTCCACAATCAACCAGCTGTTCGGCACACTCGTCCACATCCACCTCGCACCGCGCGCCACGCCATTCTGTAAAATATATTTAAACAATGAGAAACACTAAAATTTAAAAAATCTTATCCAATACTTGATACAAAAAAGGCTCAAGTAAACACAACATTGTTTTATAATAAACTAGGTTACCTACATTATTATTAATATTGAACTAACTTAAAATAATCAAGAAATGTAATAATTTGCAGCGTTTTTGTTTTGCTTTGCTTTACAAAAAAATGTAAACAACAAAAAATCTATATTCTTGAACCAAGTTGTTTACTTGAAATAAATAATAAGATCACTATGAATCGGAATAGAAAAACTTTTGGTAAGGATATACCAAAAGCCATCACATGTACTACAAAGAGCCCTAAACCAACTTATCATCCAACATATCACAAGTTATCTAACTCACTGTACCTAATAGGGCAAGGATGAGTAATACTGTCCGTGTCACCATTATTGCATAAACACGTCACAGCACAGAAAAAAACTACATTTTACACGGTGTATCTACAGGAAACGAATTTAATGTTTTTTTTCAACTGAATTCGCTGCTAACTGCTAACCTCCAAGCCAAGGTCAGCGCTTCACAAACTGTGACAATTGTCGCCTTATTGGTACCGAAGTGTAATTGAATTCAATTACTCATAGATTCGATGAGCTAACGAGAATGCGTAATTGTGACGAAGTTGTGGTTTCTGGTATTTTAACAAGGAAATTTTGACAATAACATCTTTTTGAAGGATTGTAAACACGATATAGAAAACAAATAAGGATATTTACGATGGAAAGAACAATACCTAACTTTTCGGACTTATGTTCCCTAAATATTTTTTTAGTGTTCGATTAATAGTAAATACATGAAAAATAATCAGTATATTCAATGTGTTATGTACTAAATATTTAAAAGAAAAACATTACCTGTACAGTTAACGTATTACTTAGTCTGTCTTCCTAACAAGTTAACTAAAATCTTAATAGAATGTGCGTTTATGCTCAATGATTATATACACTGAGAGATTATTGTGTAATGCTAATTTGAAATATAAAGTTTGAGAACCACAGTGTTCTTATCAATTTATCTGCAAGTTTGTTATCAATGAGGCGTGCTGCTCCGATAAGATTTTGTGACGCTATCGCACGAACACAGATAGAACACACAACTAGACTTTACTTTACAATAAAACTAACAGTTTAAGTACTCAAAGTTTTCAATTCAGAGATAAAAAAAATTGGCTTACATTGCGTATACATATGCTGGTATGATCGTCTTCTCAAAAGAAATTCATTAATAAAGCTGACACAAAAACTTTACCCATGCCTGCCCCATATAAATAGAATTTCCTCAATGTAATCTTACCCGGAGGACAGTCGCACACGGCACGCCCCCTCGTTGTCCTACATCGGCCGTTGTGCGCGCACGCATCCTCGCCCGCTTCTGCGCACACGTCCAATTCGCGCTCACATCGCCGGCCGCTGTAACCGGGCTCGCAAGAACAGACAGGTGGCTGTAACAGTCGCTTATTTTAAACTATAGAAATCATGTCATGGAGGAACTTTATAAAAATTATAAACAAAATACTAACTCAACTTAAGGAATGGTAACCATTTACAAATTAATAGTCCTAAAATAGAGACAACAATAAAATAATTCCTTATTTAACGTAGGTGTGCGTTCATAAGGAGTAGATTTGATCTACTTCGAATTAAAGAAAACACTTAAACGGTTTAAAACGCGAAATATATTTAATTTTTTACACATTATTTTTAACTTATTTCGTTATTAAATTTCGTATTTCAAACTGTAAAGTCGACTACTCGCGTAAATTATAGACAGTATTTACTTTACTTTAATTTATATGAATTAAGACGATTATTTAAAAATACGCAGTATATATAAAATAGTATATATATATACCGTTATGCTAGCATTGCAGAGTCCGTGGGAGCAGGGTTCCACCTCGCAGAAAGGCATCTCGCAGTGCACACCGACCCAACCCTCTTCGCAGACGCAGGTGTAGTTGTTGCCAGAGGACGCATCTAAAGAGAAAAATTATTTAAATAAAATACGAAAATAATTAAAACATCGATTTAAACCGATCAAACAACTTTGCGAAGTCTCAAATGCTTCAAAGCAACCTCGCAGTAACTTTAAGAAAAATGTTATAAATATCTGTGTTTAAATTAATTACATACTGAAATTTTGAAGCAGTTTACCCCCACACACCAAGGTTATCACTTTGAGAAGTATTTTTACGAAAGAAAATATTTTATCCTAAACATTTTTGGAAATCATTGAGTATTGAGTAATTATGGAGTATTATTCTGACAACCTTCTTTGAGATCGAACTTGCTGTACTGGTCTACCAGCGGCAGGCAATAGTTGTATGAAAATAAATTAGTATATAAAATCACATTTGTTGTGCAACTTAAAAATGGAACGACCTTCTACTACGCAATATGGCGACCAAATACCTAACTTATTTACACTAACGAGAAAATGTAACGTACTGAACGTCACGTGGCGCGTAAAAATCTCATTTTTAGTTGTTCGTCAATTTCGCCATTGGTTTAAGTTCTGAATTGAAATTGAGCAAAGTCTTCGTCGCAAGTAGGCATTGATGGACTTACGTATGTTTACTCTTCTGTCTCTTGCCGGCCGCTGCAGTAATGAACTAATATATCTTGCGAAAACCCACCATAGACATCAGTGCACGAAGCGTGTTGGGCGCACGGCGCGTGCGCACACGATCTGTCGCGTGGCAGCTGGCAGCGAGCTCCGCGCCACTCGGGACTGCATTCACAACGGAAGCCGCCGGCCAAGTCCACGCAGCTCCCGCCGTGGGCACACGGACTCGACTCGCACTCGTCTATGTCGTGCTCGCATCTGAACAAGTAATTCAAACATATATCTGTGATCCTTTTGCTGATTCAATGACTTAAGATTTTCCAGGGTAGAATAATAACCCAACTAAAATGGTGGAATTGAAATATGTACTCACAGATCACCGTCGTATCCCTCTGGACAAAGGCAGACATATTTGGCGACGTCATCTTTGCATGTTGCGCCGCTCTGGCACTGATTGTTCTCACATTCGTCTATATCAATCTGTTAAGAGAAAAATATAACTTACAATGTCCTCAGCCCATAAAATATTTCACAAAAAAGTATCTGGTTTGATTGCTATTAATTTAGTTCTTAACTACAAAAATATAAATTATATGATTAATTTTTATAATACTGTGTATTTTAAACGATGTTTTCATTGTATCTATCATTATAGAGAAGGCTTTTAACCAAACCTGTTTGTAGTTTAGGAGTAGTATATTAATTTCTTTGGAAGTCGTGCTCTGGTATTTGTAATGAAATAAAGATCTATAAACCTTCTATAATTTACCTGACAATAATCTCCCGCGTACCCTGGCGGACATGCGCACGAGTAGCTATTTCTAACATCCTCGCAGTGTGCGCCTCGTTGACACTCCTGTTCCAAGCACAAAACGCAACCAACGCCTTCGCTCCAGCCCCATGGGGAACCAGAACTGTATAAAAACATAAGTTCTTATTAAATTAAACATCTGACCGTAGTTCGGAGCGTAGTTACAAAACAATACAGTAAATAAACTTACAGCAGTGCATAGTGTGGCTGCGCGGCAAGCAGCGCAGCTGCAGCACCTACGAAAAGTTGTTCCTCCGTGAAGTAGGGCAACAGAAGTCCACCCACGTGCACTGCACCCAGACAGCCCTAGATCATAAAAATAATTTAATTGTGACCTCAACTAATTTTTCATAAATTAATATGACTTTATATTTTCATGAATACTAATCAATAGATCGGAAAGAAAATACGACTTACCTTAAAGTATTCTCCAGCCAGATTGTCATCGAACTCGTCACCCTCTGAATATTCCCAAACGGCTTCTGTGGTGTTGTCCACCTGAACATAAATCAATGAATTGATTCATTTCATGTTAAAATCATTCATAATCATTTTTAAATTTATTACTATCCATATATAGTCAAAAAAGAAATCGTCTCTTTTATAAATATAAGCATACTTATCAATATAACAAACGACTTTCTACATACCATAAATGTCGTAGCTGTTGGATGGGGGCGTGACTTAGTAATAACGGAGGCGTGTCCGATGCCTCCTAGTGTGATCACACCGCGCATCATAAGCTTCTGCCAGGCAGCCACGTCGATTTTGTCCATCAAGCTAACTTCTTCATGGCCATCGGGGTCGACGAAGGCACCTACGCAAAGTTTTTAAAACGTTATTTTCAAATTAGGCAGAAAAAGATAATTATTAATTATTTAATGGGTGTTACAAGAAACGAATAATTATGCTTCATTTGAAAAAAGTTTGCTTATTATGTTTTTTTACTAACAAGCCACTAAGTAACACTATATGACATTATATTATGAAGCCCGTTACTTAAATCTACATCTAACGAGATAAGGAAATTGGGCTTTGTTAAATAAACGTAGCTTACGTCAGCTCTCCCGATTTTATGTATCTACTATTTAAACTGAGGTTTCGTTAATTGTTTGAAAAAATGAACTACTCGTATAACTAAAGATTTTAGTGAAAACAAAAAAAATCTGATAATAATTACCTTTAATTTGATCATCCGCTAGCGTAAGCCTAAGCGTGGTCCATCGAAGAGGATCAGTGTGGGCTTTCAGTGTCCGCAGAGCCGGCAATCCACCAAGACGCCATTGTAGCGTCGCTTGACCTCGGTAGACGCCCACGCTGAACCAAGACACGCCCCCAGTAGTCGTATTCTTCTCCTCCGTTTCGATGACTTCTGTGTCATCCAATTCAGCACGGAATAGCGTTCCACCTACTTTGCTCCTGAAAAATATATATAGATTTAAAATACTTCGGTTTTCGGAAAGGATGCAGAATTTGCTAAATAAATAACACTATTTGAAACGGATTGGAAGTTTATCAGAGGTATAAAAAAAAAAAACAATCGATTTGGATCTTTGTGCTTCATATTTAATTTTTAAGTACGTACCTATAAGTAAGAGTGAGCATATGGGGCGGATCTACTTGTTTGGCGAGCGCGTCTGCCGCCGGTGTCCGTAGCGTGTATGTTAGTGTAGTGTTCACTCCGTCAAATGTCGCGTTTGAAACGCATTCATACCTGAAATTTTTTTCAAAGACCCTTTCAGTAAACGATTTTCTTTAGGAGAATCTCAAGATGTGAAAAAATTAGGAGATAGAACAATCGCGTATAAATAATACGTACCCTCTATCAAGATTACGACAGTGCGAATTCAACGGACATCCTTGAAGCTGACAGAATTCCACTTCATCACACTGTTTGCCTTTGTAACCACGAGGACATGTACACCTTTAAAGGAAATCGTTTTTATTAGTCATGAATACGGCAACATTCGAAATAGGATCATGTACCTACTAACAAATATAAATGCAATAAATATAAAAAAAAGGGAAGCAATAATTTATGAAATTCATAAAAATACAATTGATATACACTTTTATTAAAAATATTTTTGGTGTAAATATAATAGCTTACATGTAATCATTCCAAGTATTAGTGCAAGTCGCGTTGTGGTGGCAAGGCGTAGATGCGCACACGTCATCAGAGACCACGCCCTCCAACACTCCTTCCGGGTCTAGCTCAACCTCCCCGAATGGTTGTGGAAGAGACACTCCTTCCACTCGCAATGGGAAAAATTCTACAATCGTGAGGTTCAGGCCGTTTGATATTTGCACATCTTGGATGACGCCCTTGAAGTATTCAGCGTCATCTGGCTCGGGTAGTGGTGGTTGGGATGAATTAGTTGAAATTGTCGAGTCGGCAGGTGCGACTGGTGTTGGGGGACCACCTAAATACAAAACCTATAAAACCATATTGGCATTAAATAAAGATCAAAAGTCGAAGGTAGTTCAGTCACACTACAATCAAATTTCTTTTGTTTTGATGGCTTTCAGTGTCGGAACACTGTTTTTTATTTAAAAGTGCATGACAATATAAAATAAGTAGTGAAATACTACTACTACTAAATTACTAACACTAACCTGTGCGTCAAGCTGTTTGGCTGCCGAAATTGATTTTCTAAAGTATTCAGTACCGTTAAGTTTAACTTGCACCAGCGTAGAATTTCGCACCACCTAATAATATGAAAAAGCAAATTTTTGTATTAATCTATTACAATTACCAAGTGTAAGCACCAAAAAATAATTCTTACCTGAATAAGATGCCAGTTTCCATTGTCCAATCTGGTGCCGCCTACTGTATAGTCTTCGGGTGTGTGGTTGAAACGCAAATGTACCAAGAGCTCACCACCCTTCAACGATGCTGCCACTAATGTTTCATCAGTGCCTCCATATCTAAGCAATATTAATTTATTAAAAGGATGGTTGATTACAATTTATTATTTATCTAGTAATCGAAGCTGTGATGCTTCATACCTAACTAAACTAAACGTACCTGCTAGAGCCAGAACCCAGATAGAAGATTTGGCCAGTTGGCTTGCGCGTGCGCACGAACATAGATATATCGAGCGCCGCATGCACGGCCCGTCTGGCTAACTCAGACACAGTCACGACCACGACAGAGTGGCGACGAGCCGACTCCTGACCAAAGGTAGCTGCTGTGTAATCTGATAACAAAAAAATAGAATACAAAATGTGTTTAATCAATCTTTTATATACATATACTATGCTCATCATTTTTCGAGGAATAGTCTTTATATAAAAATATTCCAAGGGCCGTTGGCAAAAGAAGATTTCATTGCATTGTTTATTAATTACAAAATAAATTTAATATTGTCTGTAGTTTACGCGAGTCGTACACATTTAAATAAAATATTTTAACGGTTTTTGTTAACACTTTATATCGCGTATTAAACTGTTTATGCGTTTTATTCAAGTTATAATTTTTAATCCTTTTGCAGATATTACTTACTGTATTGACAAGTGTGTCCCAGATACGGTCTAGGACAGGAGCAGACAAATGTCGTCCAAGCATCTTCGCAGTGTCCCCCAGAATGGCATGGGTTGGGCTCGCACTGCGGCGTACGAGGGCAAGACGCGAGCACGCCCCTCAGAACCACTCTCGCCCCCTCCCCCTCCTCGTTAACCTCTTCCGTTTCCGCGTCTTCTCCTTCGCCCCACTCTGAACCGACACGCTCTGTGCTGTACTCGGGCTGTGTTCCGTTTGAGTCGTCTGGTATAACCTTTTGTGATAAACCGGTAAATTGTAGTATATATTTGTGTAACCAGTAATGTTACAAAAATCGTAAATATAAGATCAACAAGGGATGGTTAACTAATGAAATGTACCGCGTGCTGCATCTTATAATTTATATAGTGTATTTCTCTAACTTGACAAAAGACCACAACAAAATGGCCGATTTCAAACCATAGAGACTCAGTGACCTTTTATTGGGTGTTGCCACAGTAACACATCGATCATACATGGACCAAACGACAACAATATTGAAAATAACTTGACTTTTTTTTAAATTTTTAATGTCATTATTATTGAACTCGACGTTTCTAATGCTTTTCAGAGATCATACATGAGTAGGACTTCTACCTTCTGTTGTCGTTTAAAATCACGATTTCATGTAAATTGTGAGTTTGTTTACGAATAATGGCAAGTTAGAAAAAATACACTATATCAGATTAGTAAGTCAGATTTTCATGTAATTAGTCGTTAAATTTTGAATTCAATTCTTGTATTTACCCAATGCTGATTAACGACGACATCTTGGAAGCAGCCAACGAAGAAGTTCGGTCCGTGCGTGAGAGTGGCGTACGAGGATCCGGCCGTGCCCAGCCGCGTGGAGGGGAACGAGGTGACGCTGGCGTTGAACGCCTCGTTCTGGCTGATCGGGTATATCGTTTGCTCCTCATTAGCGGACAGAACCACATGGGATGAGTTTATCGTGACGAACACCTGTAATGTTGAATAGGCGATCATTTCTTTGGCTTACATTAAGAATTATTTCTTTAAAAATTACTGTTGTATGATAATTATTTAAACCGTAACTAAGGTACAGTTTAAAAAAAACACATTCACTTAAGGTTGTGTTTACTAAATTACAAATTCAATCTTAAAATTATTTAAGAACCTTATAATACAGTACTCGTAATAGTTATACTATAGAAAAAAAAAGAAATGTTAGGAAGAATACATTACGATTAAATATGTATTGCAACGTTCTTTACATTTAATAATTATTATTTATAAATATATGTATACAACATACATAAGTATAAATAATTTATGAATCATTTTAACTGGAAAAGCCACACATATCTTCTTATTATTACGTATTTAAAATGTTCAACATTTATGAAACAATAAAAATAATGTCTCACCTTTTGCCAATTACTATCATTCAAATTGGACCCGATAAAGACGCCTTCCCATTTATTGAGAAGACTGGAATGTAGATTCAATCTACCATTCGACAGTTCTAGGAAGAAGTACGTCAACCCGCGTCCCATCGCGAGTAGTCCATTTCCGAGGGTAGTTTTGAAACGGAACGATATATCGTATCCTTCTTCGCGTGATGTATTCACTTCTACAAAGCTACTCTTTTCCAAGGACATTGTCGTTATCTGAAAACATTATATACTTTTACTAAAAATATAAATGTAATATTTGTGTCAGTGAAAAAAAAAAACACTTTTGATGTAAAAAACGATAAATGCTAATGAAATTTATTGTCAATACGAGCTCTAACCCTAGAACCACTAAACAGTAAAAAATTATTTATTATCCTTCTTTACCTTTTCACAAGTAGTCCCGTAGAATCCAGGTGCGCAAGAGCAATTGAATCTGTGGTCCGTCTCGTGCGCAAGCCAGGGGAGACACGTCCCACGATTGGCGCAGGGATCCGATATACACCCCTGTAACACCACTGAGCAATTGCGTCCTCCCCAACCCGGTTCGCAAAGGCACATGTACGAGGCGTGGCCATCGTAGCACCGCCCATGTTGGCATGGCTCATATCTGGAATTGATTTTAAATAATACTTATTTTATCGTTCATTAACAGTGTTTAAGAAACTATGTAATAAAATATTAAAAAATAATTCTCAAATAAGTTTAACTAATATGTCGCGTTTTAAACCGTTAAAGTGTACAAACATTTAAATGTGTACAACCACGCGTAAACTACTACTGTATATCGTATTTTACCGATTCATTAAATACTTATGTATTCAATTATAGATATGCCAGTTTATAAAGAACACAGATCACTCTAAAAGACAGCGACAGAAGTATTTCAACTCGTTCATGCTGAATTTAAACTTACCTAAGGCACTCGTCGATCTCGATCTCGCAGTGGTCCCCTTCGTAGCCGGGTGCGCACTCGCAGTGGTACTCACCCACCCCGTCCACGCACTTGCCGTGCCCGCACGGGGACGACTCGCACTCGTCGATGTTTATTTCGCAGCGGGGCCCGGTTGTACCAGCAACGCATACGCACTCGAAACTGTAGTTTAGTAATACATAGTAGTAAGTTATATGCTTTACGTTCGTACGTTGTGTTCTGATTAGTTTGTGTCTTAAAAGAAGGATAAGTGATAAATATATAAAATATTTAAACTTTCTCTCTCTTCATTAAAAACGTTTTTCATGTCATTGTCATTGACCAGCTATGTGACTAAATAGATAAAAGTACTGGGTTTTAGTTCCAGGAAAGAACTAGATTGTTTCGGTTGGGATCAACTCAGTAGTTGTATATAAAGTAAACCAGCGCTTGTATACAATGTACAATTTATTGTATTGTATAAAGCAGCTATTGAAAGGATTTTAGTAGTTTAAAATCCTTCTAGAATCTACTTACCCTCCGGCGTTTTCATGCGAAAACGGTTGATAGAAGACCTGAGGCAACAGCATATGCGGTTGAGGGCCGACCTGGATCGGCGGCGAGTCGGGAGACCGATACAGGCTAACGTTGCTCCGCTCCAGACAAATGCCGTCGTACTTGCATGGACTGCTCTCGCATTCTTCTATATCCACTTCGCAATTTTTGCCTAAGTTAAAAAAAAGATGAATATTTTTTTTAAGTTTGAGCAATTGAGGAGCTAACATCTCCTGATGATGCTGTCCACTCGTGATGGCGTAACGTCCAGAACCTTTTCACGTTTATGTCGGCCCAACAGCCCGAATAATAATGATATGCTGAACGATAGCCGTGAAAGCCTTACACAATTGAATATTTTTTTTATTTATATAGCAACAAATTACATGTGGCATCATATAACTTGTCAAAAATCGTCGTTATCTAAACACTTTTATTTTAGACTAGTTGTGTAATGTTATATATTATGTTAATGTTTAACTTTTATATACAATTTCATAAATATGTCGTTGTAAATCTTTGCCCAACACAGTACCAGGAACTCTTTAATTTTGCTTGAATAGATTACGAACCCGTAAATCCTTGATGGCACAAACAGTGGTAGTCATTCAGGTCATCAATACATGTGGCCGCATTACGACATGGTTGAGGCGCGCACTCGTCAATATTGGTCTCACAAGTGGGGCCACTGTAACCAGTCCCAGCGCAGTCGCACGTAAAACTGTTAACGCCGTCCGAACACCGACCACCGTGGAGGCATGGCTCAGACTGAAATAATAGTAAATAACTTTATTTGGTTGCTAATTACTATAATATATAAATATCTTACTTAAACTAAATCTTAATTTAAGTGGTGTCATTTCTACTGATGGATTCTGATAAAGATCTGTGTCTAAATATAAAGCAGCAAGATGTATGCACGTAAGTGTATAGTACCCGAACGAACGACTCCAGTAAATTCCATGTATTTTAGTCTTCATCATCGAAATCAGATTTTCCTTATACCTTCATTTAGTAGCAGAAATAAAAACATCGTAAACCACATAAAAGGTAAAAAAACAACATACAATTTTACTTTACTGTGATGTAGCTTAAGCTTCCCCATCTGCTTTTTGCTATTTCTTTTTAAAAAGCTTTAGTAAAAACCTCACCTCACAATCGTCGATATCAATTTGGCACCTCGCGCCGGTAAGACCTTCGGGACAGAGACAGGAATAGCTAGCTATCCCGTCCACACACGTGGAGCCCATAGCGCAGGGATTTGTCGCGCACTCGTTTATGTTTATCGAACAGTCCTTGCCTGGAAAGATGTAGAGGTATTAATTGAATATTGACATAAGTCTATTAGGCCTAAAATTACTATTTACAAATAAGTAAAATATTCATTACTATTTGTGCAAGTAAAATTATTCCGAGGTATTTCTTTTCTGCAATTATTGTGAACAAAATACGTTATTTCTACCTTTTCATTATTTAAATATATAATTTGTAGGATGGATCTGTGTACGTATTAATTAGCGCCATACCTTCGAATCCTTCGACACAAGTACATTCGTAATTGTTCTCGAGGTTCTGGCAGGTTCCGCCGTTCTTGCATGGCGACGAGAGACACTCGTCGATGTCTTGCTCGCAACTGTCGCCCGTGTAACCTGTTAATGCATTTTTGAAAATCCTATGAAAGTTTCATCAATAATTGTTAAGCCGTTTAGTTCTGTCTTGAAGATTGCACTTCTTAATAATATTTAATGAAAGGTGTTTATTTCTCTTACTCTCTATTTATAGACACCAATGATACGTTACAGATTGTCTAACGTCAATGTTGTTTCAAATATTAATAGACGGTGCCGGAGTTTCCAAACCACACGTTTGATAAAGGAAAGGAAAAACTAGTTCTTTTGCTGCACTTAAAATTGCTAGTAGTAAAAACTCATGTTTAGCGAGAAGTCGGTCTTAATTACTAGCATACTAAATGCATTAGATACGCACCTGGCTTACAGTAACATTGATATGAGCCAGGTACATTAACGCACACTCCATGATTGCAAATCTTCGGCATTAGCGCGCATTCGTCTATATCGATCTCGCAATAACGACCTGAAAGAAAAAAAAATGAAAATCGAATCGCAAAAAGGCAACAAAAAAGAACAAACCTTCAAAAAGTATCGATATCAAAAAGAGAACTAAACGATTCATTTGAAACATTAGCTGTTACGTATTGTGTTCAAAAGACCGCATTTGATCAACTCGTATCAATTTACATATTGTTACAGTTTACACAGGTGATTTGTAACAAGTCTTCAAGCGAAACATAATATGAATAACCGTTTTCATTCACTAGCTGAGAATAACTGTAATGTTTACTTTGAACAATAAATAAATATCACTAATTCAATAGAAATATGAAACTTGCTAAAAGTAACGATTCCATTAATATTACCGTTATTTCTTTAATCTTGTGCACAACACTATAACTGCGCTGTCTGTTAACGTTACACTGACATATAACACGTGACAGTTGACAAACAATTGACATTTCACAAATATTTATTTCACTGTTTGTTATCATGTATGGCTTATTATTTTCCTTCCTAGTAAATTGAAACCTATTTTACGATCAAATGTTTTCAATCAATGTTTTATAGGTATAATTGTAAATGATGGAGTTGTAAAGTGTGTGTGTCAAAAACATCGCCATGTTATACCTATCACGCAATATTTTAAGGTTATCTCGTACACAAGCAGTTTTCGTATATCACAATCACACACAAACCGCAAATGGTATTGGCGGAACAAAAAGAAATAAAAAATTTGAATCCATATTACAACGCAATAAGGACAAAATTATTTTCAACTCTTATTTGGAACACGAAAAAATCGAATTGGGTTACTTCAAGTACCACATCAAAACAGTGGCTAAAGCAAAAAAATTAGAAAAAAAGACATTCAGTGAAAAAAGCTTAACTCCACTACCTGTATCACTAAAATATTATCTTGGCGAAAATGAAGTTCTTCCGGAAAAATTGGAATATGAGGAACCTGCCTCATCACAAGCCTTCCAGCCTCCATATGCCTCTCCTACTCCAGTAGAAATTCAAGAAGAGACCGCATCAAAAGAAACCTCACAAAATGAACCAGAATTTGACCGATCTAACCTTAATAGATGGATGGTAAACTATGAGCATTTCGATGACACAAAATTATCAGAAGATGAAGATTTTGGAATTGATAAATGGTCACAACAATATGGAACTCCAGATCCTAATAGCAGCATCAGCAGTGTGGGATGTGGGGGTTGCGGAGCATTGTTACACTGCAATGATCCTGCTATTCCAGGTTATTTGCCAAGTGAAATATTTAAAGGACGCTCAAATGAGGAATTGAGAACTATTGAATGTCAGCGATGTCATTTCTTAAAGGAGTATAATATAGCATTAGATGTTACTGTGCAAGCAGAAGAATATGAGAGGCTGTTGCAATCAATTAGGTAAATTACTTTTGTAATTTTGAAAACTTTATTATTGTTTACATGTTATTTATTGCACATGAAGGTACTATATAATTTAAAAATCGAAAATAAATTGAAAAAAAAATTTCAACTTGGGCATTCAAATTTCTTCTGACGATGCCGGATGAAGTCCTGCCTGACTCTCCGAAATTCCATTTTTAAATTACTTTTGTTATTTCACATAATATATAGGTTAGTTGTTGGTTCTGTTTTATTATGATCTGATTAGACCACATTGACAAAAATCTATTATGTCTAAAGCATTCAGACTCAGTTTTATATTTTTGGCAATTATAGAACAACTGCTGTAAAATACAATTAAATTGTTGTTCTGTTGTTTTGGCTTGGGTAAGGAGTAACCCTAATATATATTATTTTGTTCAAATTAAAGTTTTTTCACATCTAATTACAACAAGAAATATCTTATGAAAAGTGCATATATGTATTAAAAAGTTGCCCACAATACTTTATGGTGTATTTCAATATTATATGTTTTTATATTTTTTCAATGTAATACAGATATTAAAATATCAACAATTAGTTACTAGCATAGTTTTTCACATTAGTTAGTGCCCCATTAATAGCTAATAACAATGTAATAATTTTATTATATGTATTTAAATATTGTTTCTTTACAGGTATGTGAAATCATTAGTACTACTAATGGTTGACTTATTAGATTTTCCTTGTTCCATTTGGCCTGGTATAGTAGATGTGATTGGTAAGGACAGGCCTATATTCATTGTTGCAAATAAGGTAAGAATTTTTTACTTCCGTAAATACAATTTTTTCTTAGTATTGCTGTAATTTTAAATTTGAAACAATGGTATTGTATTTCTAGGTGGACTTAATACCTGGAGACAGTATTGGCTATTTAAAGAGAATCAGAGAGTCCCTAATGGCAGAAATAAAAAAAACAAAGCTTGGCGAAGCAAAAATACGTTATGTAGGTTTGATATCTGCAAAGACTGGCTATGGAGTTGAAGATCTCATCTCTGCAATGTTCAAACATTGGTTATACAAGGGAGATGTCTTTCTAGTTGGTTGTACAAATGTAGGAAAAAGCTCACTTTTTAATGCTTTACTGCAATCAGACTATTGCAAAGTTCATGCTGTTGATATAGTTAAGAGAGCTACTGTCAGTCGATGGCCAGGAACTACATTAAACCTTCTAAAGTTTCCGATAAACAGGCCTTCCTTATGGAAATTAAACAAGCGTACAGAACGGCTTCAATCAGAAGCCAAACTGCTTAAGGTCGAAAAGGAAATACGGAATGCGCAAGTTAAAGGCAAGAAATATACCGAAGCGCCGTCACTAATCGGCCACATTGGCAGGACATTTTCTGATTACAACCAGTTTGACGACAATAACATTTTAGAAAAGAAGCAACTATTAACAGTCCTGGATGATAAACATGAACTTTTCAATAAAAGCAAATGGTTTTATGACACGCCTGGTGTAATACATCCTGATCAAGTTCTGCCATTGTTGAGTACTGAAGAATTACTTCTAACAGTGCCCAAAAAACCTATTAGACCTCAGACATATTACATACATAAGGGACAAACATTCTTTATAGGTGGTTTGGCTCGTGTCGATCTTGTACAGTGCTCAGTTCCATGCCGTTTTACAATATACTGTTCTGAATGTTTGCCTATCACTGTAGTAGAAACAGACAATGCTGATAGAGTTTATGAGGAATTTATAGGAACAGAATTATTCGCTGTGCCCACTGGAGACCAAGAAAGACTGAAAAATTGGCCTGGATTAAAAAAGAAAGAGGACATTTTAGAATTCACTGGAGAGGGGCCAAAAGCTTGTTGTGGTGATATAGTATTATCTTCGATAGCGTGGGTGGGCGTGACAGCGAAACCGGGTACATTCTGCCAGGTGGCGGCTTGGACACCTGAAGGCAGGGGAATTCACAAACGGTACCCTTCATTGCTACCGTTTGGTGTTAAACTGAGCGGAAAACGTATTCGTGATACGCCAGCCTACAAGGTAGGTAATGTGTTTGTAGATGAACATGAATAATAAAGATGATTGTGATAAGCTTTTTTTTTATTTCAAAGGATCCTACAAAATATATTTATTTCAGACCTTTAACAATATATAAGAAGAGAGCTAGTTCCTTATTTTTTACCGCTTACAACAATAGTACTGTGTTGTATTATTGAAAAGCATTTTTATTTTACTATGTGAATATTTACTTATAAGTAAAATGTTACTTTTACTCTACTTATTTTTTATGCAAGCGAAATAAAGCTAAAATAAAATTGTTTCTTCCCATCACATATATTTCTATAGGTATAAAAAAATTTTGAGTACCTTGACATGTGACTTTAAGATAAAAAAATTTAAATGTGTACAGGTAATAATAAAATGAGCTCACCAGTTTGTCCCGGCTGACACTGGCATCGGAACAGACCATTGTCCAGAGCCAGACAGGTACCATTGTGACAAGGTGAAGAAGCACAGGCGGACTCGGCGCTCGCGGCCGCACAACGCCATGTGCCACTTTGTTCAACACATTCCTAAAAGTATTTTCCGGTTGAAAGGAGACAAGCAGAAATGAAATTCCATATTATAAATAGCTATATTTTTTTCTGAAACTACTATAATATCATAAAAGATTGATAAAAAATGGTAATCCCGTTTTCCCCTAAGGGGGAAGGGGCCGCACGCATTTTACCGATCGGTTCCCTTACAGGTAATTTGATCAGAATTCTGTGCCCTGCGCAACCGTAACAATTGATTACAGAGGTGGTTCATATATTGATTATTTGTATACAATATTATCAATTGGAAATCAACGTCCTAGAAAGATCCATTTTAGTTTTTAAACCAATGTTTTCAAGCTACTTATACATTCACCTCTCGCACAATGCGGGACACCGGTTTAGTTCCTGCCTGTGTCGTAAGGTTTTAATCTCAAATTGATTTTTAATTTATATAATGCCATCGTGTGCAATAACATGTGAAACATATTAAAGTTTCCAAACTTCCTGGTAAGATTAGTATTTATTCTATATTAAGATAATTTTAGCATACCTGTCGATGTGGACATGGCTGAGCGCGACAATCGAGCGGTAGCTCGCACAGCGCCCCACCGAATCCGGCGCGGCACTCGCAGCCGTCAGAACCGCGACATGTGCCGCCATTGGCGCATCCGCGCCCGCAGTCCGTGCCCGCGGATGCGGCCACGTCGCAGCGGGAACCCATCCACCCAGCTTCACAATCGCAACGGTATCCGGTCGCCTGTTTCACGAGCAAAAAATAACTCTTAATAATTTTCAATCCTTCCTAATACATATTTGCTTAGAATTCCTTACGATTTCTTTATATTTTCAACTATAAAACCTCTATAGGTTACTTACTTCTATGGTAAGGGACCCTACATATTAAAATACAAGTTGATGATATACTTACGGTATCTCGGCAGGCAGTTGCGTGTACGCAAGGAGCCGACGAACAACGTTCTGGCTTCAACTCGGAAAGAGCCTTTCCCGAAGGCCCCACCTCACAATACATACCTAGAACATATTTAAAGATTATATCAATCCAATTTCGACAAGGAATCGATCCTTACATGAAATCAGCTTAAATTTGTAATATATTAATAACTTAACAATATGAAGATACTAGTTATTTTAAAACCACCATGCATAGTTTTTTAGTATACCTATACTTTGGTTTTACAGACCATGCTTCATACATAAATACATCGGATCAAAACATGTTTTAATTTACACGATACTATTACAAAAAATCTCTAACTCCATTCCTAGGGAAAGGTTTTCTTTGAAACCACATTTCAAAAACTATTTCGTCTAATTAAACTAATTTTCACACCATACAAAGGCTGTAAAGCGAAACGACACGATGTTTCATTATGAAAGTGAAAATATGAAAACGAAAGAAAAACAGGCAAAGCTGACGACAGTCAATTGTTTCACGACAACAAACACATTCCGAGATCTTTCGATCGCTCGTTGTACCTTAAACTAAGTTGTAAGTGCTAGACGTCCTTCTACATGTGCCGTAATCGCTGCACTGTGCTGCAAGCTATAGAAGTATACATACATATGTATTTTAAAACAAATATTATTTTTCTTAGACCTATCGACTTTTGATATTAAGACTAAATAAAAATACATTAATTTCTTATTATTGGTCCGGCACCATTGGCTGTTTTTTTATATAATAACGCTTATATAATATTAGATCAGAAAATTAAATCAGTTATTTTGTTTAATGATAAATTATTATATTGCTTGGAGAAAAATAGTTTGTCCATTCACAGAAATAAGTGACTACGGAACGAAAGGGTGACGCCATTGTCAGTATAGTCCTTTTTTTAAAGAATACATTAGAAATAGACAACGTATACTTGATTTATAAGGTCTCATCAACTATACATACCTCTATAGGGCGATGGGCAGGTACAGTTAAAGTGGTCAGTCGTCTTGGTACAGGTGCCCCCATTCTGACAAACGCCTGTCTCGCACACGTTCTCTAAAGTGCTACAGTTTGGTGACAGGCCTGGTGCACCTAGAACAAAAAATACAGTTCGATAAAAAAAAATCACACGACAAGAGAGCCATGAATATGAAGAAGGTAAGGAAATAAGGTGTCAGTTCGTGCATGCACGATAACTCGGTAACTTAGATTTAGTAATTGACAAAGAAGCACTCACCATAATAACCAATGTCACAAACACATAGCACTTGTCTGGTGACAACGATCCCTGCAACCATTCCTGTCACACCTACAATAATTCAATGATCATTAAAAAATAAAAACCTTCAACTTAGGACTAGAAGAAAACATTGACACAACGGAACACAAAATTACAAATTAAACTTTTTATTTTAACGATATACTTATACATATAAAAATGGAAACATAATTAGTGGGTATTAACAATAAATAAAATAATACATACCCTGTCTACAATGTGAACGAGGCGGACAAGACATCTCAGCGCAGGCAGCAACGGAAGCCGGGGCCATAGTCGGTAGCGTGGGAATTGGGCTAGTGGACGGAGCTAGTGTGGTAGGCGGAGCAGTGGGCGTGGGAACGCACAAGGGCGGGGCTAGCCCACGAGCGCACACGCAGCGGAAGCCAGCGCCATTGTTCTCCTCAACGCATGCGCCACCGACGCCGCAAGGGCCCGATGCACACGCTGACATCTAAATGTAAGACAGATGATGAACACAAATAAGAATTGTTGCTGTTTCTTTCACACTTTTTGCAGATTTGTTGAGACAAGCTAAGCACTAAAATTTTTACGAAGGTCCGATCTCATAAGTTTCTGATATAAGGTTTAAAATTAAAACTGAATCATACCTTGTGACACCTTTCGCCCGTGTACCCCGGAAGACATGCGCAGACAAACGATCCATATGTATCATAACAGACGCCGTGGCCGCAAACTGCGCGTTCATTCGCACATTCGTTTACATTTGTCTCGCAACGAGGTCCCGTATAACCTAGAAGATGACAATATAATTAATATTACTTTTTAACAGGTTAACAAACTCGTAAGCGTAATCCATTTTAGACAAGCTTTAACTAACTCTACTCATTTAGTGAAAATGGTCTAACTACCTTCATTTCATACTATTCTAATATCTCTTTGAATATATAGGAATCGAACAAATTTATTTAAAATTCTGGAACAGTTTGGGATAAATTCAAGATGATCAATTGGTTTTACCAGTGTTGGTGCAGTCGCAGGTGTAGTTGTTAACCGCGTCGACACATCTACCGCCGTTGAGACACGCAACGCCCGACACAGCGCACTCGTCGATATCCGTCTCGCAGTTGCGACCCGTGTAGCCTGGATTATTCATAGGTTACAAACTTGATTAAAACATATATATATATATATACTCTACTATTATCATCCTTCATCGTAGGACAAAAGCTTTTATATTATGCCCTTATACATAAAATTTATAATTACTTACCAGGTGGGCAATCGCAGACATATGTATCTGAACCAGGAGGAACGTTACATGAGCCATTGTTGCGACACGGACCAGCCACGCATTGTGGGTCCAAAGACTCTTCTAGCTCACAGTAGATACCTAGAATTCAAACAGATATGTTTTAACTTATTTGAAAATTATTTTTAACTTCGACCCGACGTTTTGTATGGTTTTCAGCAGCCGTGGTCACGGGGAGACTTTAACGCCAAAATATTGTACATATCACAAGCTTCATCCGGCTCCAAGGATCATCTGATTGTGCTAAACAGCCTCTGTATTTTTTCATTTTTGTAGAGAAATCTGTATACTAACCGTGATAGTGTGCAGGACAGAGACAAGTATAGTCACCGCGAGCGTCTTCAACGCACGAGCCTCCGTGCTGACAAGGCGCGGACGCACATGGGTCGCCCGCATCCACTTCACAATTGTTTCCTGTATACCGCGCCGAGCAGTGGCACTCATATCTGTAATTCAACCAACATACATATTATGTATTTTTACCATTCCATTTTATCAAAGATACACTTAGCAAATTGAGCAATATTAGTTAGTTTACGTGAGTAGTACACATTTAAATAAAACACTTTAACGGTTTAAAACGCGATATATTAGTTAAACTTATTTGGAAATGATTTTTAACTTCGGCCCGACGTTTCGGATGCTTTGCAGCAGCCGTGGTCACATATAAACCTATATAAAACATAAACGTCCCTCCAAATCTGCGGTATGCCAACACTCATCGGTAGGGCCCAATCATTACGTTCGCTTTGACCATCCAGAAATCCTCGCAAAGGAGAGTCTATTTTTTCCAAAATTGGTACGCGAAGCAATGGAAATAAAAAAAACACCGAAATTTCAATAGGGAGGACGGCCTCAAATTATCAAACACCTGGGATCCCATATTAAAAACTCTGAATCCCAATAAACAGCATACCGGCAAGCGCGAAAACACCGTTAGTAAATTATGTAAGGACAGTTTCGCCAAATACCAACTTGGACGGAACAGATGACGCTAGCGTAGCAACTTTTTACTTTGACGTCAGAGACATCCTCCATCTTTAGTCTCCCCGTGACCAGGGCTGCTACCGAAGTTAAAAATCATTTCCAAACAAGTTTAACTAATATATCACGTTTTAAACCGTTAAAGTATTTTAATTAAATATTAGTTAGTATAAAAAAATACCTGTCATGTCTCGATATACATGTCCCATGTCTTAAACAGGGCTCGTTGTAACAGTGGTCTTTCGGCGGTATCCTTAGAACGTCTTTTCTATCCTTGCCTAGAAAAAATTTAAAGTGTTTTTTAGTTTCGTCCGTGATTTTTTTTTCTTTTGATAGTTTAAAAAAAAACAATTTATTATTAATAAGGTCTTACATTCGTCAGTAGTAAGAGGACAATGTCCAAATCGCACATTAGTCTGCATAAGATAAGCAGTGTGAAACTCCAGTTGTGGTCCCTCGTGCAAGCAGCCGCTGAAGACGTTGCCGACTAACACCACAGCGCCACCGGCTTCCAAAGCGCCGGCTGAAAGAAGCTCTCCGTTCCATGTCACATTTGATATCACCTGGAATCAAGGTTTCTATTCTATAACCATTGGGATTTGTGTATCGATTATGTTCTTTGTGGTATATTTACGATTATAAGTTACATTAAAAAAGACTATGGTACGGTACGGTATATATGGTCTATATTTAAAAAAAAAATACTTGAACCACTGGCCAAAATATGAAAAGCATTACGTGTCTAAATAAAGTGTTAAATTAGTTAAGCATATTCGAGAAGATTTCATTGTAATAGTTTAATTCGTTAGTCTTATTTCTTTAATTGAAACTAATACAAACAAAATAAAATATGTAAAATACCTCGTCAGATACGAAACAACAAGAAACGATCAAATGGTAGAAAATTTCGCCCGTCTCTGTTTCTTCCTTCCTACGAAACGGTTGAAGATGAAAATGCTAACCTGCGTTTCTTTATCAACTTCAAGTAACAGCGCTGGGGGGTTCGGCCGATACCGGAGCGCAACCCAATGCCACCGGTTGTCCAGGGTCTCTTTTGCCAAACCAACCTCGCGCTGAGGCTGACCGGGTCTTGACCATGAGACCACCACTTGTTCATACAAAGCCGTCACATGGAGGGTGTAGCCTTCCGACCTTTGTGAAAATAGTTCACCACCTGTTAAAAAACAGTTTGTTTTAATTTGAGTTTATAAATATGTAAACATGGGGATTGTAAATGACCTTTGGGTACAATAAGTTTGATAGAAGTACTTTTACTCTAATTGTAAAATTTGTCCATAATAACTCTACACGCACATAACACTGTACAACTTTTTATCCAGTTAATCAAATCGATGCGCCAGAGTTGCCGAGGACCACTTTTTATGGCGACATCTGCGCTTCTCCGAACTTATTAAGACTGGTAACCATCAGTGATAGCTTTTTAGTTAATATTGGGTACCTTAAAGAGTTTCTTATTTGTTGTTTATTTTTTTATATTGAAAAAGGATTACTTTTTAAGAAAAAAAAACAACAAAGAGCCGTTACCTATAAACTACAGAATAACGTATAAGTCTTTAAAGTATTTCTCAATGAGATAATTTACTTTTGTAGATAAAATTATATACAATGTTTAGGTATAATATAATACAATTATATACAATCTTCTCTGAGAAATATTTCTTTTCCACTATGTCTATTGCTCGAACCCCATGCTTCTGCTGATTCATGAATGATTTTGGCAAACACTCGTTTAAACTCACCAACTGAACCCTCGTTGCTAAACCAAATGCAGATATTGTACCGGTCGTTCACTCCATCATTTCGCATGACGTAATATTATAACGATCATAGCTGTAGGCGAACACAACAAACTGTTACGTGGCCAGAATATAAGCATTTAATTTAGCGGACATCAATCAATTGATATTATATACAGGACCCTGCTTGGTTCAATTTTACAACACCAGAAGTCCTCAACGCCTCACGTTAAGCATAAGAACAATAAATCGTTTGGATCGTGCAGAGCACAGAAGTTGATCAACTACTCGCAAAAACCACACATATGTAATAAAATCGGTCATGAACCAGAGGTAGAAATGTCTTAAGCTCATGGGTGATTCGGGAGATCAGGTAGATCAGAGTGATCACCTCGTTCTTTTAGTCTCATTATTATTTGAACAGTTTTCAGTTTTGCACATCTTTCATTGTAATTACGTAAATTTTTAGGGTTGCCGTGAAGCGATGGCTAATAGCGTTATACCCAATAACTTTTACGTTTAATTTGTTCGTCATATTCATACATAGCACGTAATCGTACGGCAATCTAATTAGAAAAGCTCTAGCCTGAGAGAGAAAAAAGTTCCATGTAAGACATACATTACAAACAGATGATTTGATAAAGCTACCTCTGAAAAGTGAAGCGCAAAAAGCGGTCCGCGGAACTGGACATTCACGGATGACGCAATCAGTTTCAAAACTTTTTGTTTTCATGTGTGAACTAACACAATTTCACACATCAACTTTAATAGGCATGTCCCACTTCTGAGTACAGGTCTATTAAGAAAGAGTCAGAGAGTAAAGAACTCGATCGAACACGCGGGTCTAGGGTTTGTGGGTTTAAAGACTACCGACGTCTATCCCTGGAAGTGATGATGAATTTTCAACTACGGATTCCTAATATCTGGACCTTGGAATGTACCTAGTGGGCATTTAGTTTTAAAGAAACCTTACGCCTTCATCTTATCTGATTCTTCGGAACTTTTGAAATACTGCCTTCCTTTTTCTTCATAAACTAGTCTTTTGCAAGGTAGATATAATAATACATTTTCGTTCAATAACTAATAATCTATATGCTTACCAACACAAGTGCGAAAGCTTAACCCGACGAGCTGCTTCAAGGATATGGACCTGGATAAGCGTATGTATGAGCTGCCATTGAAGTAAGCTTCGGGACGGTCTGATGGGCCGAGGGGAGCAGCTGCCTCGCTCAATGATGAGGTGAAGAGGGCGAGAACTATGCAGCCTGAAACAGAGATTTTATCAAAAAATTAACGTAAGAACTATTTTTTAGCTGGCTCGTGCCGTAGTACCATTCATTTACAATATCTCTTAGTACGAAGACGAAAATTTCGTATCTGACCTAAATGACACAAGTCACTTGCAAGGCCTAGTTACAATTCTATAACTTGTCTGTTTAAATTAATTCCTACGTTACAAGTATATGTTTCACGTCCATTGTTAAATTTCGAATATCAAAAACAATTCGCTTGATTCATTCACTAATGATCACTTTATTCGATAGCTATTCATTCGATTGTCGACGTCATTAGACTCGGTGCTTTGGTCGTATCTGACCGATCCAATTAAGCGCCGATGCACGATAATCGAATTACAAACGATTCGTTCTAGTGAGTAACGCACGCGGCTAATGTTGCAGTTTATTTATTGAAAGTGCGCGAAATGGGAAAGCTTGCGCACGCGCATCAAATATCACACGATGGGAAAAGAGATTTTGACGTGTATTGTGACTTGCGAGGTCGAAAATCACTTTCCTTGAAAGTGCCATGGCGAAGAAACACGTTAATTAATCTATGCTACTACAATATAATGTAGGATACTACAATATAATATAAAAGCACCAATGTTCTTGTTTTAAATGTTTAAACATCATATATATAAAAACAATAAGTGGTTCCATTTAGACATATGTAACTACATAATTATTTGAAAACTTTATTATTTTTTACATGTTATTGCACATGAAGGCACTATATAATTTAAAAAACGAAAATAAATTAAAATAATTTTAGACTCGGGCAGGACTTGAACCGGCATCGTCAGCTTTCCGTGCTGTTGCTCTACCAATTGAGCTACCGAGTCCTACACCTCATCGTCGAATTTTTTCAACTTATTGATATATGCATCGCTCGCATTTTATAGTACCGTTTCTAGATACGAGTATCTACGTACTGAGTAGAGAGATGTCTACTACGTATGAGAGACATATTTTTTACTATAGTAAATACAGGACCAAGATACCAAAATATACATGTAATTATTCGCTCTGTGTAATAAGCCGTAGCGTAACTATTGTATTATAACTGACAAGACTTAAACCAGTTCTTATGTATCACGAACAATACATATAGCAGTAATAAATTGCAACACTACTGCAGTGTATAGTGTATTGCGTAATCTATATCTAATTTCCTTGGCATTGCTGATTTTGACATAACTTTCGACAGAAAGGAAGAAAATAGAATCGAAGTGTAAAAGGTATATCACATCGTCGATTATTTTATTATGACTAAGATTAATGTTACTCAGTGATAATATAGCTTTCTAATGAAAAAAATAATTATTAAAATCGGTCCAGAACTTTTTGAGTTTACCCGTTACATACAAAAATACAAATATTTCCTCTTTCTAATATTAGTATAGATGTGTACAAAACATTCCAGGCAACGTCGTTGTTTTTGAATTATCACATTTCCATTAATATTACACCAATGTACCATAAATGATAATGACAAATTATTTACATTGATAGAACTCGAACAGATTCAGTTCACTTGTTTTGAAACCAATCACATTGTCCAGACATTGTTAAACATGAGTCATCAAAAACTTTACAATGCGACGAGAAAATAATATTTTTACGAGCATACTAATAATATAATAAACTTGTGACATTGAAAAGGAAATCCATGAAGAAAATATTCTGCCTCAAGGAGATAAATACGTATAATAAGTAGGTATTGTCTCTACTGAAGCGAGTACTACACATTAAATAGAAAACTTTTGAGATCGCGTATTCCGATGTGGCCCATGGCTGTTTGGGTCAAGCTTTTGGATGCGTCGGGCCTTAGTTTTCCAATAAATAAATCATGTTCTCAATTACAAGTATTTAAATTAATATGAATTCAATATTTATAAGTTTAATTATAACCTAAACTAAAGCTTTATAACTTGTTAAAGTGTAAAGCTAAGGACTCGATAGCGACTTCGAGATCAGGCTGTGCATTTATATATAACTTTTTAAACGTTCCTATGTTTTAATTATTTTTTTAAATAACAGCTATTTATAGTTAAATTGTGCGTATATTAGTATTAACATTTTTTATTTCACAATTTGCGACGCATGGTGTCGAGAAAAACAGTACTTTATTACACATTAAAAATTCAAAATAATAATAACCAAAATAAAACTTTACTTAAGGCGAAAATCACTTAAATTGGCAAACATGCCAGGATTTGAACCTTTGACTGCTCATGAACGTAATGCTTTCGTTATGGCGAAGCATACAAATATAGAATGAGATAATACTGTATAGACACGCGATAAGCCATACAAGTTAAATTGGATTGAGTTAACTCGGATAATATTTATGTAACAAATGCAACTACAAAATATAGAACAGAACATGTAGCTAGGTATGTCTGTATATGTATATTATAAAATCCTCCCTCCGAATATTTAGTCGGTTCGGCGGTTTAGGGAGCAATTTCATATGACCTACAGACAAAACGTTAAGTCAGTTGTTTTATAATCTTAGGTATTTTTTTAACTCTCTCGTCTATTAACGGTTTAAAAAGCGAAATTTTAACTTATTTATAATTTATTCTAACTACGGCCCGCCCGATATAATGTACTTCGCGTTTTAAACCGACAAAATGTTTTATTTTAATGTGTACTACTTACCTACTTGCGCAAACTACAGACAATACTTCAATTTTCTTAAATTTGAGTAACTACCTACTTTCGTCAACTAAACTACGGCACCTTTAAAAAAACATAATAGCACGTACGAAGTCAGCTGATCAAATCTAGTCACGTCGTGAACAGACTTCCTTTTTCCTACCACGTGAAACACCTGACGGCAGTCTTCAAAAAAAAGGAACATTTTTGCATACGCTTTACGTCGTTTGTAAGCTTTATGTTTTGTCAAAACTAATTTGATTAAATAGTCAGCTATTACGATAGTTTTTGCTCGAGTGTAAAGAAACAATATTTTGAGTGTCCTGGTCTTATTCTTACTATAAATATAGTTCCGATAACATAAATTAAAACAAAATAAAAAAATTAACTGAAATTTTATGATTCTACAGTTTCACCCCATGACCCAGAAATCCACAGAACCCGAAACAAAATAAGGGTTCATTCATAGCTTTTTTTATCTGTGGACGAAGGTTAGTGACTCGGACTGAATTTCGTTATTCTCATCACCCATTTAATATCCAGATTTTAGAAAAAAAATTAAATTTATTAGAAAAATGGACTCGGTGGCGATTAAACTCAAGACATGTTGATTATTAGCCATACATTGCTAGTATTACACCAACAGCCCCGTCATAGATACACAACTAATAATAATAATTATTATTATTATAAAACAACCTGTTTTATTTATTTACAAGTTCACCAACATTTATTACATTAAACAGCAGTTTATTTTATACAAATAAAATAATAAGTTAAACGTAATAAATGCTTAAATAGTAAAGTTACTATAACTAAGTTTCAACCAAGTTTGGAATTAGGAATTAAAACAGCACAAATCATTAACTATTTTGCTGAATCTGGGTATTGGAGAATGTGATCCATTTACCGGTTTCCGTCGGGGTGGCACAAACGGTGCGATCGGCACTCTTATGTTAAATTTTGAAATCAATTTAAGAGGACTCTATTTTTTGATGAAATAATTTAGACACAAACAATAAATTTAATAAGTAACGACGATATTAGGAGGGACGCACATTTTTAGCATATCATGTGTGCAACATGACTAAAACCACTTGTGCGAGGTATGTTCCCACATATTATGTACGTTTTGTGGACAGGGTTACATTTCGAAGACTCATTGTACTTTAGTGTCAGTTGCAGTTTTAAAACGTGCACTGTGAACTTTTTTCTAAGACGTTTGGGGATTACTCTAGATAGCAGAATAACAATGGCCCATCAAAATACCGCAATAGAGGCCTTGGTGGGTTCCGCTGTGGTACATCGTATGGTAATGACCCAAGCACTTTAAACATTATTTCGAGACAATGCGATTTGACAGAACATTTTGTTAGTCTTGAGGCGTTTTCGCCTTACGTTACCCACGAATAAAACCGATTAAAAAAAAACCTAAAAGGAGAAGAAAAGGTTTTTTATTAATACTTAGTAAACAAAATACACACTTTAAATATAAAGAACTATATATTATACAGGATACAATACGTAATATAATAATAACACCACATTGGTACATAGCCAAGAGATTATTTTTTTAGTCTTTCCCATAAATATATTTCAAGTGTATTCCTTCAAAGCTGCACACTCAAGTGGTTAGAACAAACTTTATGCCCATTAAAACAATATTTTTGATAAAAAGTCACCACTGTCGTGTGAACTTATTATAAGAAATTCAGCAGAAAAAGTTTTAATGTTTATGGAATTCTATTGATTAACGAATGTGTTTTAAATAAGAATAGTAAAAAACAAATAAAAAGTATAAGGTACATTCCGTAGGATCTAAATTTAAAGAGCTTATAACAATTTTCGACGACACCTTTTGAAATTATTTTTGAACAGAAGAATTGATTTCTTGATAAGAGTAACCAATTCACAGTGAAATTCCAAAACATTTTTGGACATGAATAAAAACTTGCCGTAACAAGTGCGAGTTTTATCGTTAATTGAAGAAATGTTTACCAACACAATATAGATATGTTACAAAAAAAAATATGACAAATGGCGGCGTCAAAACCCGCTTGCTAGCCTACAGATATATATATATCGCTAAACTATAAAATTCGAATCCTTCGACTACTTATAAACCTTAACCTTTTTGCCGGAAGTCCTTAGCAGGTAAACATAATGACAGTTTTTATGGATTTGAGACGCTTTAATCTGAAGCCCCTCCCCCCCCCCCCACATAAAAATTAGACTTCACGGTGGTTGATTTTAGGCTTCTTTCGCGATACACTTTCAAATTTTTGCAGTTACAGTTAATTCACCGCGATTATTGCAACGAAACA